GATTAGGATCCTCAATGTTGTGCTAAGGAAATGGCACACTTTCCATTGGCCATAGGGAGCCACTGAAGGGAAGAGAGACAGGGCCACAGCTGACTTCTGCTCCCTTTGGTAGCCAGAGAACAGTGGGATCTGGAAGGGCGGAACAGGGGATGGGAAGGGAGCAGGGGGACCCGTGGGGCTCTCCTCTTTCTTCCTCAGGATATTTGCTTTGTAACTGCAGAAAGTCTCCTGTGGAGGGCCTGGAACCTCAGGGGTCTGGACTTGTCTGCTGGCCATGGGAAGTGACAGAAACCTTTGAAGCAGGGTCAGATCTGTTTTCCAGAAAGTGGCCATGATAGCAAGTGCTGACGGCCTGAGAGTCAGAGGAGAGAGAGATGTAACAGGTTGCAGGGTCAGCTCTGTGACCTTCGGGCTGCAGTTTCAAGGAAGCTGGACCTGCAGGTCAGGAGGAGCCACAGAACTCAGCCCACCCAGCAAAGCCATAGATGACCCTCTGCTCTGTCCCCATTTCCTCCCAAGATCCAACCCCAGGGAACCCATTCTTATAGGAAACTTTGAACCACAAGAGCAATCAGATTTCTAGTCCCAGAAAATTCTAATGAAACCTTTCACAAACCAGGATACCCACTACGGAAGTGAAAGGCTTGCAGCTAATCAAGAAACTTTATATGAACACATCCTGTTAAACTGAGCCATTTTAAACTGTCCGTTTGCAAGTCAAAAGCAGTTAAGTTCAGCAATTCCATATGGTTCAACCTAACAGATGCCAACCTTCACTGGCTTCCACCATCTATAAGCAAAACAAGAGTGGGGCTTTGCCAGGCCTGGAGTGGGACACGAGGACTTTGTTCTGCTGAACCACAGGCCCATGCTATGGCCCCCAGCCACCTCTGCGACTTAACCTTTTTCTCCTCTGAAATGTATCAGCCTCATCAGTCCAGGGGATGAGCAGTACCCAAAAGAGCACACGTAAGGCCCAGCCCAGAGTTGGGGTGCCCAGTCAGGGCTGTTCAGCCTTTCCCCATTGGCACTGTGACTGCTCTGCATGGCCCTGCTGCCCTCCTGTTCCAAACATTCCTGATATGTGCCCTTCTCCCTCCACCCAAGCCTCTCACTCTGTCCAACCCCAAGTCCTGCCTCCTCCAGGCCACAGTCCCTGCTCTACAGACCCAGCACCCTCCCTGTTCGGCCCTGAGTCCAGGGGTCATGGCTCTGAAGGGTGAAGACACTCTCTGGGCTCCCTGCCTCTTGTCCTGTCTCCACCCCAAGGTCCACTGAGGGCTGGGGCTGTGCCCCTTCTCCCCTCCTCCTCCCTCCCACCTTCTGTCCCCACCTGCACAGACCCAGGCATGGGAAGTGTCCTAAAATAGCATCTATTCAACAGCCTTTTGCTGAGCCACCTCCTGCAGCACCCCTGGGCTGGGCTCTGGGGTGGGAACTGAGCGATGAGTTAAACTCTGAGCCTTCACGGATGACCTCCAGGTGGTCACACCCACAGGCCACTCTTTGCATGGCCAAGTGGAGATGGCACTTTTCACTGAGGGGAAGCGGGAGTCACAGATGGCAGAAGACAAGGACCATGGCAGATGCCTGCGGCCCATCCAGGCGGAGGGGCCAAGGCCGTAGTTCATGGGGGGGAGCTCGCTAGGAAATCAGCTCTGAGTGGCAGAGCTGGAGTTCAGTTTGGAAGCCCCCAGACTGGAAGCCACAGCACTGGCTGAGGCCCTTCATAGGAAGAGTAGATAGAAAAGCAGAGAAGGGTTCCTCAGGCGGAGGAGTCCAAGGGCGTGTGCTCAGGGGTAGGTGGAAGCGGGGACTAACAATATCGATGAGGCCTGTGCCAGGGAGGGATGAGCCGGCGTCTGGAAGCTTGCTGCCCAGGCTGGGGAATGAGCACCGGGAGCAGCTCCGCCGTGACAGGTGACAAGCGACACCAGTAGTACAGGTGACTCCTTCAAGAAGTTTTGCTGTCAAGTCCACAGAAAGTGGGGGCGGCTGGGGGAAGCCATGCAGTGGGGAGGGTTATGTTAGTCTGGTGTTTGATACAGCAGCACGTTTGTGTGGCTGCATGAATGGCCCTGCAGACTGATGGAGTGGGAAGGGCGGGCACGATGGAATCTGTCCGGTACTAATCGCTAGTCAGGAATGGCCCGCCGCATCTCCTTGGGGAAGCCGCTTCTCTGCAGCCACATCTTATTTCCTGGAAAATTCCAAAGTGTGTCCTCCAATGTTCCACCCTCCAAACACTGATCTTGGTGGCTTCCTCTTCCCGACTTCATAGCATGTGACCTGTAGCCACCTCATGGGAACAGCAGCCAGGCTGGGTCATTCCAGAACTTGCCTTCCAAGCTTGCTGTCAGCCTGCCTGCAGCCCATGGCCTGAGTGGAAATCCCCATACCTCCAGTTCTGGGCTGTACGGCTTGAGGAGGTGGCTCTAACTCTGCATCAGTTTCCTCATCTGCAAAAAGCGGGTACTGACATCCCCTACCCCATGGGGCTGTTGCGAGGGAAACTTTTCAATGGTGGTGGTGTTAATGTAGGAAGGTACGCTTGGGCAGGGTTCTAAGGTCCAGGTGCTGTGGGATGTGGGCAGCAGAGAGATCCGTGTGCCTGAGCTCACCTATGCCAGGAGAATTCTAAATCAGGGTTGTCTCCTCACCTCATTTGGCTTGTTGAAGCCTCCAAATACCTGAAGGGGGAGAAGGAAGCTGCCCATCATAGCAGAAAGGCTTAGATATTGTCTCATTCCACCTCCAACTCTATTCAAAATTCCACCCATTGAAGTCTCTTACTTGCTTACATACCTCCTCTGCCAGGAAGCTCACTGCCTCACAAGGCAGCCCACTCCTTTCTTGGTCAGCAAACGTTTCTGCACAGTGAACTAAAGCTGCCTCCTCATGACTCTCCAATTCTCATCTTTGCTTCCTCCTCATCCTGGTCAGGCACCACCCTCTGGGGCCATATAAAGGCTACTGGCCTCCACCCTTGAGTCTTAGAAACAGTGACCCTATACCCCTGTGTCTTCTTTTCTTCAGGCTGTGGTCTGAGACTTTAGAGTAGAGAGGGACTGTCACCTCCCCAGTTAGACCTCAACTGATATGACCTAAGCTCTAGTCACATAGTTTTGTGTTTAAACAAGGATCCCCACCTGGGGGGTTTTCACACTGACTGCTAACAAACTACATCCCCACTCTGGGCTTGCACAGGGGGACCCCAGCTTAAATCCAGGACTTTATCAGTCAGAGTTACTGGCTCATAAAACACAAAAGCTTAGGGTTAACTCTGGCCACTTAATGTCTCTGTGGATTTCTCTCCTCTAGGGGCCTCATGTAAGTGGAATCACACAGTATTTGTCTTTTTGTGACTGGCTTATTGCACTGAGCACAATGTCCTCAAGGTTCATCCATGTTGTAGCCTGTGTCAGAATGTCCTTCCTTGTTAAGCCTGAACGATATTTCACTGTATGGAGAGACCACACTGTGCTTGTCTCCTCGTCTGCTGATGGACACTCAGGTTGTTTCTACCTTGTGGTTCTTATGAATAATACTGCTGTGAGCATGGCTGTGCCAACACCTGCTTGGGTCCCTGCTTTCAACTGCTTTGGATTTATGCCCAGGAGTGGATTTGCTGGGTCACAAGGCAGTTCTATTCACTGTTTTTCATTCATTTTTTTTTTAAGGGATCTTCATTCCTGAAGTACAGTGCCTGAACTCAGACACAGAGTGATGCCGGGTTGATTATTCCCTTTGGAATGATTTTTCCAGTAAAATGGTGGGAACACAATGGTGCATCCTTCACTTTATGTTTTTTTTTTTAATGTTTGCAGCTTAATCATAAGGAGGGTCTCTTTGCAAAAATATTTGAGACCTTGATTAGTTTTTCCCAGGGCTTTTCCCAGACCTCCAAGTCCCTCTGGGCACACCTGGTCCTTCCTAATCCTGTTGGTCTTCTCCTCTTCAGCTGTAAACTGGTCCAACCCTGCCACCCCCACCATCAGTGGTTTTTCCCGGCTGACACAGCTCCCCAGCATGCCTTCCACCAGCGTCACAAAATTTCCCCTTTCCCAAGATGGGCAGTTTCACTTGGCAGGCCATTTGTACTGGGTTGTTACGTCTGACGGTCTGGGAGAGATTGAGTTATAGCAGATGCTGAAGAGGTGAGAGAAGGACAGGTGTTGGTGCAAGTGGAGGGGTGAGGACCTGTTTCCTAAGGCCAGCTTAGTAGCAAAGATTTTCATGTTATCACAGATTTTTTTTTTTTCCCTACTGGGACATGGGAAATGAATATTCAAAAAGTGAAGACCTTGGAATATCAAGATGATTGATCTGAGGGAAGCAGGTTTTCCAAAGCACAAAGAGGAGAGACACTTCACTTGAAGGCTTACAAGGGCAAGGAATAGAATATGCAATTAAAAGTAACCAAAACAATTAAGATTTTTAAAAATTCTCACCCAAAAGAAGTCATCTAGAGGTGGACTAGTTAGTCACCAGCTGGGACTAGTTAGTCAGCAGCTGAGAGGTATCAGGACTCTTGCTCAGCTACCCTATGACTCAGTCATTTCCTCATGGTCACACAATGGCTACCACAGTTTCAAACATTATATCCACAAGACACTATTCAAAGGCAAGAAGGCAGGGCATTTCCTTTGCTGACCCTTTTTCTCATAAGGGACAAAAACCCACTCCAGAGGCTTCCCAGATGTTGCCTTTAGTTCCATTAGCTAAAATTGAGTTACAAACCTGTGCCTTACCTGCAAGGGAGGCTGGAAGAGTGCGTATCCATAATGGAAGTCTGACTCTGCCAAGCTGGCCACTGAGTAGGGAGCCAGCAGGGTCACCCACAGGGACAATCCAGGGTCTCCTTCAGACACATCATAGACAACTGACCTGTGCACAGTAAGGAGTGGAAGAGGGTGAGCCCGTATCCCACATGCTTTTGCAGGAAGTTGGCCAAGCCCCCTCTGCCTTCTTGACACCTGTGCCTTCTCCCCTGCCCACAGGTCAGAGGGCAACCAGCTCCCAGCCTTACCACGAGCCAGCCCAGAGCCAGATGCCAAGAGTAGTGAACCTGAGCACAGTGGGACCCGGGGCCCAGACCCCGCTCCAGAGGGCACCTGGCAGTCAGACAGCAGCTCCGGGAGCAGAACGCTGGACGAAGGTTTGTCCCTACGTGCTCAGGCTTGCTGCCAGGCTCACGATCTACCAGGCTGTGCCCCAGACCTGCTCCAGGGTCCTGTCTGCACTGATACCGCCATCCAGCATCCAAACAGACTCCACTCCCACTACCTGCTGAGGCTGGCTTCCCAAGTCCACAGGGGCCCTTTCCCCAGGCCTCAGAGCATAGACACCCATGCGGGAGGGCAGGTTCCAGGGAGGCAGGTTCCAGCTGGGTGTGGGGAACATCTCTGTCCCACCAGTCCCATGCAAGGGTGGGCTGGGTGCCCAGGGAGCTAGGATGGAGTAAGCACCCCATCATCGGCGGTATGTATGCAAGGGCTGGATGGTCACCCCTCAAGAAGACCTCAGGAGGCCCATTGTCTTAAGAACCTTGGCCTGGTGGGTGTAAAGCCATCAGTTGGAAAGGAGAGAAAAGCTGGCAGAGAGTAGCCCAGGCTCTCCCAGAGCAGCCGCGGGCAGGGGTGGAGGGGCTGCCGAGCCCCTCCCACCATCCTTAGAGCCCCTTGCTTGCCCTGGACTCAAGCACAAGACGATGTTCATGACTAATGATAATGACACCACACACACACAGCCAGCTTCAGGAAGCTCCCAGAATGATAAGCAGCTCCCAGAATGATAAACAAATTGTCAATATTGGAAATACGTTCACACAATCAAGAACTCATGGATCAGCCACCTCAGCACTGGTTCTGTTTAGCCTGGGACACTTCACTGGGACAAAACAGAAGGTCAAGAGCCCACTCTGCTGGGGCAGAGTCAGGCTGGAGGAGAGACGGATGTCCAAAGTCAGGATACCTGAGTCAGGGGTTTCTAAACCTGCCTGGTGGCCAGGATCACCCAGGAGTCTTTAAAAATACACATGCCAAGACCCACCCCACATCTGTTGCATGTGATCCCGCAGGGCTGGGGGCAGATCACACAGCTTCCTCAGGACACTGTCTGTCTGCAAGCATCAGGCCGGTCAGCCCAAATGGGCTCTGATTAAAGGGAACTTGCCGGCTCACATATTGCATTGAAAAGCTGGAGTGGGCTTCAGGCATTTGAGGCGTCAGCAGATCCTCACCCCTGCCGTCCTCTGCTTGCACTCATTTTCAGAAGGCAGTCCCCTCATACTGACAAGATGACCCCAGTAGCTCCAAGCTCACCCCCCCAACTCCCAGGCTGGAGGAACGGAGGCATTTCTCTTCCCTGGAAATGTGCGTCAGAGTTTGGTCTGCCTCCCCTTGGCTAATGCTGGGTCCCCCTCCCTGCCTGAACCAGTCAGATAGCCAGGTGGTCTGTGCTCTGACTGGCCAGCCAGGATTTGTACATCCCCCGGGCTGGGGTGGAGTGGACAGGGGAGGGGACAGCATCCCAGAGAGAGTCAGGGCTGCCCACACCTCAGAGATGGGGCCTGATGCCGGGCAGCCAGACAGCAGGCATCCACGACAGAGCCTGGGGTTTCTGACACTCCCTCAGGCCAGAGTGCAACAAGGTCCAGCCATGGTGGGGTCACACAGGGTCTCACATGTGACACCCATCATCCACATCCCCCAAGATGTTAGAGGCCTGCAGTTCCCTGAGAGTTAAAAACCTGTTGAGCTTGGCACCAGCGCCCTGCAGAGCCCCAGCCCCACGGCTCCCAGGCTGCGACTTCCATGTCCTAAGATGAAAATAATACACATCTGAGAGCCCCGTATACAGACAGGCCCTAGCTTGTTGTGTCATCTTAGTAAGTGAAGAAGGAAAGGGTGGGGCTCCTGTTTCCCAGATCCCTGTGTAAAATCCCAGGGAGGGGCTCTGATTGACCAGCTTCCCTCCTGGCCGGCATGTGGAGGGGGGCCGCACCAGCCTCAGGGGCCTCCCCTTGCAGGGGCATGTAGGGTGGAGGTCGTTGGTCTGAAGGAGGCGGAGATGGCCACCCACACCCCTCTGGGAAAGGCTGCCTGTTCCCCTGCCTCTATCCCAAATCCCACATCCCGTTCTCTTCTGCAGCAGACGAGCAACTATTCCGCTCGGTGGAGGGCCAGGCTGCCTCTGATGAAGAGGAGGATGAGAAGTGGCAGGAGGCACAGAGGCCACCAGCTGAGGTCAAGACCCTGCTGGCTCACCTCTCCAGCTGTGCGAGTGGGTATGTCATCTGGGATCGGCCCACTGGGGGCTGGGAGTTCTCACACGCAGTCCCAGGAGTCCAGAGTCCCTTCATACAGTGACAGAGCTTGAACTTTTGAGGCTGACTGGCCAGAGTCAAGTCCAGACTTGGTCACCTCCCATACGCTGTCCCCTCACCTGTTGGAGGGAGGTGATAAGACCACCCCCAGCATGCGTAAGGCTGTAATGGATGCTCAGCAGAGGGCACACTTCATGGTGGCTTTCTCTCACCCCTTGGCCACTGTCCCAAGACATTCCCCAAGGCTCTAGTGTGACTCCAGGACATGTCACACCCTTTCCTGATCCCTTGCTCCCTACAACCAACACCATTTACAGCATCTCCTCCAGCCTGGCCCAGGGCTGGTGCTTTCTGATCTCTCAGTTGGATCTCTTACTCCCCACACCACCCTAGAAGGGAACAAAGACAGACCCCGATGTCCAGGGCACCACAGACAGGTTGCCTGACTTCTCTGAGCCTCAGTCTTCTCGTCTCTAAGATGGGACAGGAACGTTTGTCTGACAGCAGTGTGGTCAGGATTTGCGATCGAGGCTTTAAAAATGCCTGATCACAGTAGGTACACCACTAAGGGGCAGTGTTGTCTTGCACTATTGTATCATAAAGTGCTGTTGATGGTCTGAGGTTATGGTTCTCACCAACCCTTTAGGTCAACAACAGCACTTATTAAGCACCCATTATGTGCCAGGCAAATTTCGAGGTACTGAGAAATCAGCAATAAACAAACAGCAGCCCTCCTCTCCCAGAGCCTCTGTTCTAGTGAGTGGTGACCAGAGTGAGGAAGAGATGGAGCAGGGGAGGGGCAGGGGGAGGTGCCAGGAAGGCCTCTCTGGGAAGGTGCTATCTGAGCAGGAACCTGAAGGAAATGAAGGAAGAGCATTTCAGAAAGAGGGGCCAGCAAGTGCAAAGGCCCTGAGGTATACTGGAGAGGTGGTAGGGGGCAAGTGCAGTGGGAGCAGTTAGTAAAGATGGGTGGGAGGGAGGTCAGAGACCATAGGTGGACTGGGTAAGTCCTCTGGCTTTTCCTCTGAGTGAGGTGGGAAGTCAGGGGAGGGTGCTGGGCAGAGGGGTGCCCTGGCCTGGCCTAGCTTTCAGGAGGAGATGGACTCAGTAGCAACCTGCACTTGCTGAGGTTACAGCACACTCTGGAAAGCAGCCCTGCAGCACTGGTGCTCCCTTTTGCTGCAGGTGTGACGACCAGATGGCCAAGCAGCTCATGACTTACTTCGGCAGCTTTGGCAGCGCTGACCACGCCCATGCCCCAGCGGAGCTGGAGGCCCGGGTGGCCATGCTGGTGGAGCAGCTGGGGACCCTGGGCTGCAGCAGGACAACCCCAGGGACACCTGAGGAGGAGGTCAGCTGAGCCCCAGAGGTCAAGGTCTGGACCAATGCTAGAGTCTCTCGCAGCTGCAAGGACCCTGAGGGATCTCAGCCAAGTCCTATGCCCCATTCACAGATGACTAACCTAAGAAGCAGAGAGGAGACATGATTTCCTTTTACTTAGATTTCATGAAGACTATTTTGGTTGCAAGTTAAGGGATCCATCTCAAATTAGCTTGAGTGCACAACTAGGATTTATTAGAATATGGAGCTGAGAAGAACAGTTTCAAAAGAACTGAGAAGATGAGCTTCAGGCACAGCTGGATACAGGGATGCAGACTAGATTGTCTCCACCCATCTGCTCTGCATTCCTCTGGGTGTCGGCCTCACTTTCCACTACTTTGAGGGGCTTGCTCCATGTGGCAAACAAAAAGGCAGGACTATAGACAGCTCTAGGCTCTCATCAGCCCAACTAAGAAAACTCCAGAGGGACAATAAGAGTCTAGTACATTAAATCTAAGGGAAGAACTCCAATTGGCCCAGCCTCATTCATGTGCCTGTCCCTGAGCCAATCCCTGTGGTAGGCAGGCAGGGTTCAGGGACTCACCAGTCAGATGAAGTGGAGGAAGGACGCTTACCCCAAGGAAAGTTAGTGAGTTAGCGGCAGGCGAAGGGAAGTGGGCCAACACCAACAGGTGGTGTCTCCATTTCAATAAGACCACTCAGCATACTTCCCTCTTCTCTCTACTCCATAGCAATTTCTCTATTCCACAGGGATCACACTTTTCAAACTGGTCTTGACATAAGATAGTCTCATTTATATATCCATTCTGGTTTTGGCATATCTGTGGTCTAATGCAGTTTGAAAGGGTCTTGGACCATCCCTTGTCTAAATAAGTAAAAAGGAAATGGGGGATTAGGAGAATTATAGAATTAGATAGTTACTGAGGCACATGGTTGTGTCCCCAAGCTCCCTTCCAGTCCCCTGGGCAGAGGCACCAGGCTTCCTCTCTCCTGTGCAAAGCCCTGAGTACACCCAGAGTGCCCAAGGGTACCACCCCTCCAGCTGCTTCTCTTTCTCTCCATTGGCATCAAGAGTAGGGGTCACCTTACTCCTTGCATCCCCCACTTCAGGAGGCAGGTGGCCATGTGACATTTTGTGACTTCCTGGCATCTACCCCCTGCTATCCTGGGGAGATCAACAGTCTCAGTGCCCAGCCTGCCAAGGGTGGACCAGCAATGCAGGCAGGGCCAGCTGGGCCCCACTCCTCTTGAGAGAGGTGGGAACGGCTGGAGAGCTCTTCTCGGCTGTGGCCCTGGGACAAGAGGCGTGAGACATTCTTGCTGTCTCAACCCCACTGCTGCCCCATTCCCGAGGTTTTCTGGCTGCCAGTCCATCCCAGGAACAGCCCGCTAGCCTGCCAGTGAATTCACTTTCTGTCTAAACCAACCAGATGGGTTTTTGTTGCTTGTAACCAAAAAGAAAAGTTAAAAAGAAAGCAAATGGATAGAGAAGGAAAAGGAGAATGGAGTCCTCAACTAGAAAACAATATATGCATATTCTTATATTAGCCCAACTCACTGTGTGACCTTAGGCTTTATTTGGCAGGCTGGGGGTGGGGGCAGATGAGATGACCTCTGTGAAAAGGTCAAGGCAGGCCGTGGACCCTGCCTGGGGATGGGGCCATAGCTACAGGGCACAAGGCAACAGGTGGGAGCCAAACCCCAGCTGTTCCCTGCAGGGGGAGCTGCAGTCGAAGGTGGAAGAGGAGCAGCTGAGGCTGGAGCTGCAGATGGTGGAAACCGAGAGGGTGCGGCTGTCCCTGCTGGAGGAGAAGCTGGTGGACGTGCTGCAGCTCCTCCAGAGGCTCCAGGACCTGGTAGGCCCAGTGGCACCCAGGGCGGGGGGAGGGGTTTCTGGGAGGGGGACCCTGCCTGTGTCGGTACCTGGCTCTAAGCCTTCCCACCATGGGTAAGTGCTATCTCCACTTTCCAGATGCAGAGATGGAGGCCCAGGGAAGCTAATCAGAAGGAAGGGAAGGCTCTCTAATTCATTTTATAAAGCTAACATAACTTTGATCTCAAAGCCAGAGGAAGCTAAATACAAGAAAGGAAAATTATAAGCTAACGTCACATTTAAACATGGGTGCAAACATATTAAATAAGATATTAGCAAACCAAATCCAGCAGTGTTTAAAGAAATGTAACATGAGCAAGCTGGATTTATCCTAGGAATTCAAGATGATTCTAGATCAAAAAATCTTATTAACATAATATACCACATAGCAGATTTAAGGAGAAAAACCCTATATTCACCTCAAAAGAGGCATAAAAGTCAGTCACTGTCACCTTGTTTTAAAACCCCTCAGCAAACCAAGAATAGTAAAGACCTTCCTTTTCCAGATTAGGAAAAGGAAGCTAACTACCTCTCACAAACCCCACACTTACTGGTAAAATGTTAGAATCTTTCTACAATCAGAATTAAGACAATCATGCCTTTCATCACTGCTTGTATGCCAACTAGAGGTTCTAGCCAATGCAGTAAGACAAGAAAATGGATAAAGATAAGAAACAAAGCTATCGGTAATTATATATCATACTCATCTACACAGAATACCCAAGAGAATCCAGAAGCAAATTATTGTAATTCCTTGGCAACATGGCTGATAAAAAAGCAGAACACAGAAATCAATTGTGTTCCTAAATAGCACTGGAAAATCATTTTTAAAAAAATGTTTTTAAGAAACAGTTAACTTAGTCAGGATTGCACAGTCACTGAAACGTGGAAGTAGAATTTGAACTCAGGTCACCCAGGGTTTGAAGTAGGCTCTTACCTCAGGCTGTCTAGGATACAGAGCTATCAAGACCCCAGCCTAGGAGGATGGCTGAATGGCAGCCCAGTGCCAGCAAGCAGTGAAAGCAGTGGTTCCCAGCACAGCTCTGGGCCATGCAACCTGGGGGTAAACACCTCCTAGTTGGGTGGCTTTGGGCAAATTTCTCATTCTTTCTTAACACTGCTTTTTCTCATTGGTTAAAATTAACATAACAGGTTATTGCAAGGATTAAATGAGCCAATGCATAAAAATGCTCTCTTAGTCATGATTATTTCCCAAGTTCTCGCTTTGGCATGTAGATGGCAATCCATAAATACCTGATCTCTGAAGGAATGGATCCTGCACAGTGCTCCATTTACCCACCAAGAGTCTCTGAGAAGCCCATTGGGCAGCGTGGCCAGCCTTGGGGTAGGGGGCCAGGAAGGGATGATGGGGGAGGGCAACTCTATCTGCCCCCAGGGAGCCATACCGAAGCGCAGAGCCACCCAGTCCCACCTGCTCGGTGTGGCACGGCTGCCACAGTGCGGTGCAGCCCTGTCTCCATTTCTTTTTAAGAACATATCTAAAAGAGCCCTGGGGAAGATTTTGCTGAGCACGCTGAACGTTTGCAGGGACCCTGCACATGGTAAGAGGGCTCCCCCATCTTTGGGAGCCTGAACACGGCTGGAGGGTGTCCTGACCTGGCACTCTCTATCCTAAGTGTCTATCTGCCAAACGCCACTGTTACTCCTGCCCTGACCACCTGCTAAGGGTATAGGCAGGAGCAGGCTGCAGAAAGTCAGAAACGCTGTTCAACAAGAGCAGGGGAGCAGACACCAACCAGAAGCCAGTCTGGGCGAACCCCGGGGGCTGGGTGGGCTCCCTGTCATCGGTTCAGTCACAGGGCTGACCACAGGCCAGGCTCTGGAGAGGCGCCTCGAGTGTGTTTAACCCCTCGAGTCCTTACAGCAGCCTGTTGAAGAAAGCGCTGCTATACCCACTCCACAGCTTCAGAGACTGAGGCACAGAGAGGTCAGCTGCCAGCTGCACCTGTGGCCTTGGGTCTCTCCCTTAAGCACTACACAGCATTGCTCCTCTTGTTTGGACAAAATTCAGAACAGCAGGATTTCATGCATGCCCAGTGAAATCAAGCTGAGCCAGGCCTAGCTGCTGCCTGAAAGGGCCTCACGGGCTGTTGGGGTAACCAGCTGGTGAGGAGGCTCTGCTCATGGGCCTCACCAGGCACGCTGGGCAGGCACCAGGTATGTCTAGTTCCCAGAATGGACCCTGGCATCAAGGAGGGGGTCAGAGGTTATGCACTAGAAGCCCCCTTCCCTGAGGGACAAGATGGGGTAGGAGCTGGGCAGGGCTGGGGTGGGCACCAGGGAGGCGGGAGAGTGGCTCTGTGGGGCAGTGAGCACACTGACCCACCCACCCTTTCCTTCCAGAGGGGGGATCTGGGCCTGCGGCTACCCTGGATGCCCTGCACCAAGCTTTGGCCTGCTGTGAGCTCTTGCGGAGACAGCCCTCCACACCAGCGGCCCCAGCTCCAGTGCTCACCAACTCCCTCCTCACCTGCTGAGGTCGCTGGCCCAGCCTCTGGGCACTGCCACACCAGCCTCCAGATCGGCCTGGCTACTATCACATCCTCGGAACCTGGAGGCCTGGGCTCCTTCTGACACTAGGCCCAACCCCAGAGCCTCCCAATACAGAGCCTGGCAGCCATCCCTTCCTTGGGTTCCTCCGATTCTCCCACAGCCCCTGTATCCTGCTACCAGAGACCACATTCCAGCCCTGGGGGTGCTGGATCAGCCTGTACCTGCTGCAGCCTCCCCTGCCCTCGGAGCAGAGGTGCCCACTCTCCCACTCAGCCCAGGACCCCTTCCCTGGGCTCCCAGGCTCTCCTCCCCCACAATACTGTACCCTTCCTCCCCCCAGTGTGCCTGCTGCAGGGACACTGGGCCCGACCTCCAGGCCACAGCTGGTGTGGTGCGAAGACAGAGCAGGGCTGGGGGAACTTCACAGGGGGAGTGAGTATCACCACAGGCTTCCTGGTGGGGCCTGGCCTTGAACTAGCTCTAGAAGAGAGACAGGATTTACATGGGTAGAAAGAAGAGGGAAGGGCATTCAGGTGAGGTAAGGACAAGAGCTAAAGTGTGGTGCCAGCAAGGGGCCCCTTTCATACAGTACCCGGACCCCCTCTTTCCTGAGCATACAGTAGGTATGGGGGCTCATGAGGGTCACGGGAAGGAGTAAGACAAGAGGCCTGGTCTCACCTACCGTAAGATCTTGTTGAAAAGAAAGATACGTTGGCAAAATAGTTCAATGTGAGTGAAATCAATGCTAAATGGAGGTAAAATAGTGTTATGAGAGCCCAGCCACCACAGCGGGAACAGCAGGGGTGAGGGCAGATGCCTGGAGGAAGCTAGGGCAGGTGAGGGCCTCCAGGGCGGACAAGGATCCGGGACATGGTCCCACTGGCAGTGGGGGGCCACTGGAGGACCCCAGGCCACTTCGTGGAGGGAGGCGGGCAGGGGGGGAGTGATGAAGAGGCGGCTGCAGGAAGGGGACCCGTGAGGGAGGGGGGATCGAGGGCTGCCCAGGGGGAGCCTGGGAGCAGCGGGTACCCTGCCTAGGGGGAGCCTGGAGCCCGAGGCAGTGCCTTACATCCAGTCTGGCTTCAGACACTCAGCAGCAGGACAGGTGAGGGAGGCTCCAGGGAGCCACTGCAGGCTTCTGAGGATAACACAAGCAAGGCCCAGTTTCCAGGTGGTTCCTCTGTAAATGGAACAAAATAGGCGGTTCATCCCACCCCTGGTCCTATCAGATGAGCCAGGCTTGTTTGAGCAGGTCCCCAGGACTCCTCAGGGGCCAGTGGGCAGAGCCGGGCACCCAGGAGGCTGCTCTGAGCAGAGGGGGGTGCCCCCAGCTTGCCCCTCTCAGCCCAGCCTGAGCCCACCAGGCCCTGGTCCTCCAGCGCAGCTACTAATGACTACGTAACCCAGATGAGCACCCCCAGGGCTCCCTGCCCAGCAAAAGAGGCCCACTGCTCTGCATCCTGATTCATGGGGGTGGCCACAGGAATCTACACCTGTGTTAAATTTATAGACCTGAAGGCTCCCTTCAAAAAATGTCAACTTCTCTGTATGTTCATTAAAAATATAAGAAGGACTGGAAGGAACATTCCTAAGGTGCCTCTAGACAGGCCACTTGGCATCTTCAGACAGCAGGCAGAGAGGGTTCTTCTGGATTACAGCTACACTGAGTTTTCCCTAATAAAAATCTCTTCCCACTGCCTAATAAACGATGGCCCATCATCACAGCTGTGTACCTCTCATCTCACTGGAGGTAAGTTGCTGAAGTGAGTTAGACCGTAGAGGTGCCCAGAGAGGCTAGTGAGGTGAGCTGCCCAGCATCACACAGCCAGTCAGCATCCGAGCCTGGAGTGGGCCTCTTTACTGCCAGCAGTCTCTGGTTAGGGAATGCTAGGCTTGCAAAAGGTTTGAGTCTGGATGAGTTATGGTACAGGCTAAACCGCCTTGATAAAGAGACCCCAAAATACTCTGGGTCAAACAAGATAGAACTTTATTTCTTTCCTGTAACAGTCCAGAGATGAGTGGTCCTGTTTGGAAAGCTGCTCTGCTCCATGTGGTCACCAGGAACCCAGGTCCCTTCCACTTTGTTGCTCTGCTATTCTCCAGAGTGATGTCCTCCTTCACATGGTGGAAGCCAATTCACCAGCATTGCTCTGCCTTGCAACCCACAGGAAGGAGGAGAGAGGAAGGGGCCAGCCACTCTGGCACACATCTCCTCTACTCTCATGCCATTGGCCATACCAAGGTGCAAGGGAGGCTGGGAAATGTAGTCTAATACTAATATGATTAAAAGAAAAAAGGCTTCCAGTTTCTAGTCCAGCATATAAGGAGCTTCGAAGTCACTACCCCATCTTAACAAGTAAAAACTGAACAAACTAGAAATTCAGCAACTCCTCTGGGATCCATCAGAAGTGAGGTCACAGGGCAACCAGATGCCCACAAAACTGGAGACACACAAAGGTGAATACAGAGAATCACAATTTACCAAAGCAGAAAACCATATATTTAGGAATTAGTAGGAGAAGAGGAAAAACCTGAACTATAATCGATAAACTGCTGGAGGTTCAGTGTGGACAAATATGAGATTAAAACCTCCATGGGGTCCCAGCCATGGGGTTCCACACCTTTGTGAGCTCTACCTTCTGAAGCTCTGCCAGATCCTCACAGTGAATACCAGAGAAAAGCTCCTTGATTCTTCTGGCAGCGGGAGAGGAAGTAACCACTCTGAAACAGGCCAGAGCATTCTGTTCTTAACCAGGCCTGTTAAAAGAAACTATTTCAACAGAGCCTAACTTTCTGGGGTTTGATCAGAAACTGTATTAATTTCAGATAGAGCAGACTTCAGAGCAAGGAAAATTATCAGGGACGAAGAGGGTCATTACATAGTGATAAACAGTCAGTCCTCCAAGAAGAGGTAAAAATCCTTCATGCATAACAACAGAGGGTCAAAATACATGAGGCAAAACCAACAGAACTACAAGGAGAAACAGATGAACCCACTATTCAATTTGGAGACATCAACACCCCTCTCACAGAAATGGGCAGATCCAGCAGTCAGAAAATGAGTAAACAGTTGAATTCAACAGCACCTCAACTGGATGTAAGTGACGTCTATAGACTACTTCATCCAGCAGTAGCAGGATACACATTTTTTTTAAAGCTCACATGGAACATTCACTAAGATATGCCACATTCTAGGTAATAAAACACACCTTAAAAAATTTCAAAGAAATTTCATACAAAGTGATTTTTCTCTATTGTTTTCCTGTTTTCAATGATTTCTGCCCAAGTTTTTATTTCTTTCTTCTGCTTTCTTTGCACTTAATTTGCTTTTCTTTTTCTAGTTCCTAAGGTGTAAGCCTAGATAATTTTAGATTTCTTCTTGTCAAGTATATGCATTCAGTGCTACAAATTTCCCTCTAACTACTGCATCCCACACATTTTGATTGTATTTTCATTTTCATTTAGTTAAAAGTATTTGTATATTTCTCTTGGGATTGCTTGTTTGACTCATGTGTTATTTAGAAGTGTGTTATTTCTAGTAGAAATAAAAAGCATAAATAGGTGGAAGATGCCAGAATATGTGGAAATTAAATAATACAGTTAATTATCTTAAAAAAATAATTAATTATATAACCAAAAGCTGATTATTTGAAAAGATCAATAAAGTCAGTAAGCCTCTAGTCAGGCTAATCAAGAAAAAAAGAGAAAAGACACAAATTACTAGTATTAGAAATGAAAAAGGAGACAACACTACAGATCCCATATATATTAAAAGGATAATGAAGTAATAGTATGAACAATTCTAAGCCCACAAAACTGGTGACCCAGATGAAATGGACCAATTCCTTGAAAGACACAATCTGCCAAAGCTCACACAAGAAAAAATCTGAAGAGTCCTAAATCTATTAAAGAAACTACATTAATAATTAATAACCTTCCAATATAGAAAGTTCCAGATTCAGATGAGTTCACTGGTAAATTCTACCAAACATTTAAGGAAGACATTATGATGTTATTCTAATTCTCTATAATCTCTTCCAGAAGATAGGGGCAGGGGGAATACTTCCTAACTCATGCATATGAAAACATGTTCAACATATGTCATTTGGGAGTTGCAAATTAAAACAGCAATGCAACAGCACTACCCACCCATTAGAACAGCCAAAATCCAAAGCACCAATGGCACCACATGCTGGTGAGGATGTGGAGCAACAGGACCTCTTACCCATTCCCGGCGGGAATGCAGAATGGTACAACCACTTTGGAAGACAGTTTGGCAGTTTCTTAAGCTGACCATATTCTTACCATACAATCCAGCAATCATGCTCCTTGAGCTCACATGAGTATGAGCTGAAAACTAATGTGCATACAAACACCTGCACCCAGATATTTATGGCAGCCTTACTCATAATTGCCAAACCTTGGAAGAAACTAAGATGTCTTTCAGAAACTTTGGTCCAGCTAGATGATGTAATATTATTTAGCACTGAAAAAGAAATGAGCTGTCAAGTCATGGAGGAACCTTAAATGCATATTATTAAGTGAAAGAAGCCAATCTGAAAGGGCTACAAACTGTATTATTCCAACTATAGGGCATTCTGGAAAAGGCAAACCTATGGAGACAATAAATCAATGGTTGCCAGGGGTTGAAGAGGAAGGGTGATAGGGCAGGGCCCAGAGGAATTTAGGGCAGTGAAACTACTCTGTGTGATACTGTGCTAATGGATCATAGATCAGAAAGATGGGGCACACTTTCACATCTGTCAAAACTCATAGAACATACAAGGCCTAGAGCAACCACTGATGCAAACTATGGGCTGTTGGGGGTGATGATGGTCAGTGCAGGTCCACCCACTGCAACAAATGCCCCATATTGGTTTAGGGTGTTGAGAGTGGGGAAGGCTGCACGTAGGTGTGGGGGGGGACCAGGGGTACAGAGAAGCTGTACTTTCTGCTCAATTTTGTGCTAAATCTGAAACTTGTCTAAAAAAATTAAGTCTATTTAAAAAGCAAAAAGGGGAGAAATGGTACCGGGGGTGCCTCAGCCATCCTTGCAGAGTCGGACTCGTGTCAGTGCCTCCTGGCCCCTCAGCCTTGCTGGCTTGCAGCCTGGGCAGCATTTCTTCTGCCCAGCGGGGAGAGGCTGGGACCTCCTTGGTCCAGGCTTGGGTGTGACCTAAGCATCGGCCCTGGCTGGGCTGCTGCTTCCTGCCCGAGGCCTGCAGCCCCACACTGCTCAGGCCGAGATGTCCTAAGGGCAACATGGATGTCCCTGGAGCAAGGCCTGGGGTTCCTCTCAACTCCACCCTCACCCCATGAGGGGCCCTGCCCACAGCCCTGAAGAGCAATACCAGAGGCAGGGTTGAGGCCCCAGGCCTGTCACCAGGACAAGCAGGCAGGGCCTTTGCTGAGCATCCAGGCCTGAGGTCACTGACAGGAAAGAGGGTTGGGTCAGAGGATACAGGTTCACAGAAAGATGGGGCACACTTTCACTGAGCTGAAGGCTGGGGTGATGTTTCCAGGGGAGGAAATGGTAGAGCCTGGGGGCTGCCATTATGCAAAACTTGGGGGTTCACTGGTCAGAAGCAGAGTAAGTGCACAATTCCCCAGAAACCCTCACCAAAAACAGGGCCTCCCCTGACATTTGGGCCTGAGTATCAGTCAGTCACAACCCTGACCCAGAAGTTTCCTGTCACTTGAGGCTCCTGGGAGCTACCGTTAACTAATCCCTTGGTAGATTAATCCCTTGGTAGAAAACTAACAGAGTTTTCTTGCTAGAGGACTTGCAACAATTTGAATTTGAAATTTGCCTGTTTAAATGTCTACAGTCCTTCAAGAGGTGCTCTTCCTTCAAGAGGTAAAGCTGAATTCCCTTTCCTTGAATGAGCCAGGCTTAGCGACTCACTTCTAACAGAAGCTAAGGCTTGCCCAAGTTCCTGATCCACAGAAACTGTGAGATAACAAATGTTATTGTTTTAAGCTGCTAGTTTGGGGATGATTTGTTATGTAGCAATAGATAACAAATGCATTTCCTAGCTAAAAAAAAAAAAAATTATGCCTCATCAGAACATAGGGTAATTTGGGTGTGTTTGTGGTGGGTGTTTAGGTGTATTAGTAACCATCAGAGGCCTAACAGGCTGGAAGAAGGACAAGTATGAGCTGAAATTCAACAGCATTCGACCTGGTAAGTGCTATGAAAGGACAAACCCACGCATGGAGCTGGCTGAAGGAGCTCTCAAGGACACAGATGGGTGTGAGTACATGCATACTTGCGCTGGCCTGATGGCTGCTGGGCTCTGCCTCCCACCATCCTAAAGCCGGCAGACATAACACATCCTGGTCAAGGGCACAGTGGGCAGCCAAGAGGTGGGGAGGGGATGGGAGTACATGTTAGCTGAGGCTCCAAGTCCCTGGTGCATGCTCCATGGTCCTCTTGGACTCCACTTACAAAGTCAAAGATATAATAAGTTCTTATGAATTTCATGACAGCAGCCACAGAGCATTAAACCCCAAACACAGGGCCTTTCCGGGGGGAGTGGGGGGCTTGCACCTACAGCTCTTATCCATGAGCCGGCCATGGATGGTGGGGAAGGCAGGGAGGGGGCTCCCCCCCATGTGGGGCAATAGTCCTACCATGTTTCAGGAACAGTAGAATTGAATATTTGTGAATAACCTTCACGCCCATCACTCTTCTTTCGCCTTTTTTCTAGAAAGGCTTCTTTAGAATTGTTCAAATGGTCTTCAAATCATCAAAAATATTTTCTGGGAATTTCTAACTAACGTCCTTTCTTATCTTCTGGCAACAAAATCATTCTGTTGACCTGAAATTACCCCTTGCTCCCCCAAAACAGCCTGTAATTCAAGACCTCTGCCACTAGGTGGCGAACACACTCACTGAACAGAGGAATGAATGCAACAGGGTTGGGCATGATCTCAAAGCAGGACGTGGATCTCAAAGCAGTGCCGGGTTGGATTCATTTGAATGTCCCCTCCTTCAATATTTGCCTATCATCCCACCACCTGTGCTATTATTGACTCCATATTTTTCTTATAACCAGTTCCCTTTTTAAATTTTTGGAAAATGTTTTAAGAAGGAAAGCTTATGTGCTCTAATTTGATTGGAAAGCAACCTCACCTTGCCATACAGAGACCATAACGTAACAGGTGCACAGAAAACACAACAACGTTGTGAACTTCTGCACAGATGCATTTGCTGAGTCTGAGGTGACAAGTAAGTGCCAAAGTCCCAATGTTCTGGGGTGCCAAGCTGGAGGAGGGGGACCTGTGCCACGCTACAGTATGTGATCCTTCTAGTCACAAGAGAAAAATTCCTATAACGCCAGAGACAGATGAAAGGATGTCAGGCCCACCGTTTATGCCCTGACAGCATGTGGGCAGGCCCCTGCCCATGGCTGGCTGACCTGTGCCAGGGTCTGGACAATGTGCTTTACCGGTAAAGAAACTAAGGCAGAAAGAGAGGCTGAGACTATTGCCCAAGATCCCAAAGCGATTAAGGAACTCCACAACCTGGCCCCAAACGACTTTATTGATAGAGACTTCTCTTCGCAAACAAACAGCCAGCAGGGTTTCAGGGGCTCCAGCAGCTGGGGTGAGGGGTAACCCAGTTCCCCCTCTGCCTACACACAGGCTACAAACGCTAGATAATAGTTATTGCCTCTTAATCTCCTCTGCTTCCTGTGAGAAGCAAAGACTGTTTCCAGGGACAGTGAAGGATCCTGGGCCCCCAAATAAAGGTTTTCTAAATAGCTTCCCTTGTAATACAATTACCAGACTAAGGCTGGCTCCTTCAGGTCAGAGGATGGGCAAGGAGTAACTCGGTCCCTGTATTTCTCACAACTCATGTCATATGCCTGTGTACCTCCTGGAATCACCTAAGGGATTTGATGACTTTCAGTTCCTCCTTTGCTCTGTGAACAACATGCATTACACTTCCCCTGTGGGTGCCCAGGGTCCCTGAGGAGCTGCTGGGCTCATGGGCAGATAGGCAAACAGCAGCACCCCTCACTCGACTGGGGATCAAGCAAGGAGGGCTTCCTGGAAGAGGTCATGCCCCAGGTGACTCTTAAAGGATAGAGTGTGCTAGGCAAAAATTAGGGAAGGGCTCCAGAAAGAGAAAGGCACAGAGAGAGGAACCAGCACATGGGTGGGGAGTAAGGGGTGGGCACTGGGGTCACAAAGAGGTGGCAGGGGAGGCTGCAGAGGATGGCCAAGGAGAACTGAAACCATGCCTTGCATGGTAACAGTCACAGAGGGTTCTTTTTTTCCAGAGAACAATGGGAAGCCTCCAAGCCCTCCCCAGAAACCCGCTAGATCCAGGTGAAAGCAGTGAAGCCATCTAGAGCACACACAGACTAGATTCTTCGCCTGGTCATTGACCTTTTTGGTGAGGAACTGTATCCCAAATCAACAGGCAACTAATTGCCAAATATATAAAACCTAGCTGACACACAAATCAGAAGATGTAGAAATCACCATGGGATGGAGAAGCCCGGGGATGGAATTCCCCAACCCTCAACCAATCCCACGTAACCATGCTCCTTTAAAAAGCCTCTCTTGCTGATGAGCGGAAGACAGATCTGAGCTGGCCTCCTGTCTCCTTGCCCAGCTGCCTTCCTTTTATAAACACCAGTGTCCTGTGTTTGGTTTACGGTGGGTATCAGAGCCCTGTTCAGTTTCAAACCCTGCTGAAATGTTGTATGTTATTCTGAAGACACGGGGGGATCCACACAAGGATCTTGAGCAGGGGAGGGAGTGTCAGGGTCAAAGCTTTGTAGCCAGAGGCAGAGGGTGAAGCCTGGGAGACCGAAGTCCTGGAGAGACCTGGCTGGAACCAGAGGAGGTGGTCAGCAAAACTGACAAATGTACACTGCCTATTCTGTGCCTTCCCCAGAAACCAGTTAGTGGAACAGAGTCCTGCCCTCTTGAAGTTCACATTCAAGGGAGAGATGTTTAAACACAAAAATATGTGTAAGAGAAGGATAATTTTAGGTGCTGGTAAAGGCTATGAAAGAAACTAAATGGCATAATAGGGTGCAGAATGGGAGTGCTGCCTTAGTAGGGGAGACTTTGAGGAGGGGTCACTTGAACTGAGACATGACTGATGGTCAGGAGGAAGCCATGAGGAAGGGGGCTCCAGGCAACGGAGCCAGCAAGTGCAAAGACCCTGAGGCAGGACGATTCTGGAGTGGTTGAGGGGCAGAAAGAGAGTCTGTGGCTGTAGATCAGTGAACAAAGAGGAGGCTGCAGGGCAGAGGCCAAGCCACAGAGGGCCTCGTAGGCCACGGAAGGAGCGTGGAGTTGATTCTGGTTGCAGTAATTATTCTCAAAGCCAAGAGAGTTAACAGAAGACCAGGGCGGCAGCAGTAAAGGGAGAGCTGTGTAGATTCTGAATATATTTGGGGGCTGAGACAACAGGAATTACTGATGGGCTGGATGGCAAGGGACAAACTGAGGAGCTCTCTGGCAGAAGGAGGCAGAGCAAGCAGTGGAAATTGGAGGAAAATGTGGGTTTAGGGGAGAATTTTCAACTAGGCAGTATTACAGGCTGTTTGTAATCTGTGGGGATCCAGTAACGAGAAATTGATGCCTGACACCGAGGGGGAGAGAGGGGCTAGCTGCAGGAGCAAGGTCCTTGAAAAGGAGAGCAGAGAAAATTTAGGACCAGAGCAGAGATCACCCTTCCTACGCGTTTTTTCTTGCTGCCGTAAGAAATTACTGCAAACCTGGAGGCATAGAACAACACAAGCTTATTATTTCACACTTGTGCAGGGCAGAAGTGTGGGCACAACGTGGCTCTGGGTTCTCTGTGGAGATCTCACAAGCCCAAAATCAAGGTGTGCGCAGGGCTGCTGTCCTTCCAAGAGGCTGTGGGGGAAATATCCACCTGGAGTTCATTCCAGCTGTTGGCAGCAATCAGCTCTGCTTTCTCTTCAAGTCAGCAGGTGCATTAAGTTTTCCTCAGGCTCTGAAATCTCTCTGGCTTCCCCTCTGTGCAGCTCTCTCACTTCCTCTTCTGTCAGCAGCCACAGAAAGTTCTATGCATTAAGGGCTCATGTTTTGATCAGGCGCTTGCTTTTTAGGGTCAACTGTGCCAGAAAACAGAGCACCACGACCGCAGTGGGAAGTGCAAAGGCCCTGAGGCAGGAAGATTCTGGAGTGGTTGAGGAACTGAAAGAAGGTCAGTGTGGCTGTAGCAAGCAAAGAGGAGGGTGCAGGGCAGGGGCCAAGCCCCAGAGGGTCCTGTAGGCCAGAAGGAACTCGGAGTTTATTCTGGTTGCAATGGGAAGTCAAGGGAGTTATAACAAGACCAGGGCAGTGGTAGTACAGGGAAGTGCGTATGTTCTGAATATATATGGGAAGGCAGAATGTGTGTGGGCATAACTACAGGTAGATTGGAGGCTTTGCTGTAAGAGCACATGAGCCTTTAACAGACCTAAAAAGACAGGCTTAGAAAACAGAATTTTCTCTCTCGGGACAGGTCCAGGTAGCATGCCAGAGCTGGATGGCAACTGTAGAACCGTCAAGGACCCAGGCTCCTTCCATCTTTTCGCTCTGCTTTCCTCACAGGGCTACTTCCCCAGGGATGTACAGCGTCCTTGCCCCTGGCAGACAGCGGGAAGCTGCACATGTCGTTTCTCCCTCTTCTCCCATTGGCCCGTGATCGTCACATGACAACAGCTAACGACAAAGGAGGCTGGGAAATGTAGTCTTACCTGTAAAGGGCCATACGACTGGCTAAAACCCTGTGTTAAAGAAGGGACCCTGAAGACAGTGTCCAGGGAGTGGACACTGAAGCATAGTGGTGGCCCCTGGGTCAGCCTGTGAGGCTGTGGCAGTGAGCAGGATAAAAGGACAGTGATCAGCGCACTGGCCTAGAGATCCTGATGAGGTCAGAGGTGGGCTGGAGTAGGTGTGCTCAAAGATGTGAGCTGGATGGGGAGGTGGCAGTCAGCAGGTGGGCGCCTGAATCAAAGCTTCAAGGAGGAGCGGTTGCTGCTGATGGGCACTCTGGGGTAGGGCTGTTGCGGTGGGCAGCTGGGATGGAGCCCAGGGCAGAGCACAGTGGGTGGTGGCAAGCCAACAGATGGTGAGGCTTCTGTGCTCAAGGGCCGCCTGCAGGGATGAGGGAGGGGAGCATCCTTGGGGAACAGGAAGCCATGTGCCCGACATGGGGGTCAGCCAGGACAGGGAATGACCACAAGTGGGAACAGGTGGCCTGGCTGACAACAGGCAGGTCCAAAGAGTTGGGGGTCAGAGGGAGGAACAGTAATCACCTGGAAGCAGCAGGAAGGATGAGGACAGGGTCAGAGCTGGGTTCCCGTTCTGAAGTGGAGGACATCAGAGGAGAAAGCGGGGTCAGAGGAGAGGGACAGAGTGAGTGGACAGTGTGCCTTGGAAGGGGAATGAAGCCCAGGAATCCACAGAAGGAAGTCAGCTGAGTAGGTGGCTGACAGGATGTGGGGTGAAGAGAGAGGGTCTGAATAGTGGCCCAGGCTTCTGGCTGGGTGACCGGGTGCATGATGCTGGCCCTCCCTAAGATGCAGAATACAAAGGGGGCTGGCTTTTGGGTGGGGGACAGAGCCCAGGTTAGGCCGTGGTGGGTGTGAGGGCCCTGAAGAGCCACCCTGGAGGCACAGGATGCCCAGGTCTGGGCTGGGGCTGGAGCTGGAGGTGGTCAGGCCAGACGAATGTAGCTGGACTTGAAGCTGACAGAAAATATAGGACGTGGTGTCCTCAGAGACCAGCGACACCACCTGATTTGGCCGTGAGGCAAACGGGAAGGGAGGAGGGGTGGGGAGCACGCTGTGGTGTTCAAAACACACACACACAAGATTTTTCCAGAATAAAGGAGGTCATCAACATGTTTACAGAGAGGAAGGAAGGGCCCAGGGAGGTGGGGGGTGACCTAGGAAGGAGCCTGGAGGGACAAAGCAGGGACTGACTCAGTTTCCCCACAGAGAAAGCGCAGTAGTAACCAGGACGGCCAGCTTGGGAAGCCCTGGAAGCAGGAGCCCTCAGGGAGCCCCAACGGCAGCCCCGCTGCCCCTCCAGGCCCACAAGGCCTGCCTGACCCAGCTGGCGAGAGCAGGACATGCCCTCAGGCCCAGGGAGCCCTTAACTAAAAGATGTGGCATCCACACAGTGGAGCCACCGTGAACGCTGGTGACACATGTGGGTGTACTCACAGGTGGAAAAGAGGTCCCAGAAGAGCACAGGCCCTGAGTGACTCAACGTGGGTAAGAAAAAAATACACACAGGAAGAAAAAGGCAGTCTTGCATGATATTGGGACTGAGGAAAAATGTTATCACCTTCTTGCTCATTTGAACATTTTAATTTTTCCAGTGTGAAAATGATTTCTTATTTGTGGAGTTGTTTGTTGTTCCAAGTTGTACATGCCAAAAATAAGAGGGAAATCATAGGTCTGGGAGGAAGTGAGTGTGGGCTCAACCAGGTCAGGCCAGGCACCTCACCAAGACCCCTCCCCAGCAGCTGTGGAGGCCTGCAGGCAGGTGGAGGCAGGACAAGGCCAGGGGTCCACGAGAGACCCCTGCAGAAGCTGTGCAGGCTGCGGTTTCCCCCAGGGTCCAGGCTCTGGTGAAAGTCCCCCCCGAGGGACCACCCCTAGGTGAGCCTGGAGAGTGAGCAAGCACCAGGACACCCTCCCTGCCCTGCTCTGGGCCAGGCAGTAGAGGCACACCTGGGAGCCTCCCTGGGCCTCACGGGGGTGGACACCCCCTCCTGCCTGGGGAGAAGAGCTGCATTGCATCGGGGGACAGGACCCGTGGCCCCTCTGGGGGCTGGAATGGGGGGACCCCAGCCTCTGGAGGAAGGATGACCACATGGGCAAGGACAGAGGCTCGTCTGAGAAGGGCATGGTGATAAATAATCCTGGCCAGGATGGTTGATCACAGTCTGTTTTACCAAAATAGGGTATTACTTGACATTTTTGTGCATTTACTCTTGACACTTAAGGGAAATTCCTTCAACCCCATTCTTACAGTTCTACGTCACTTCACATAATGTCTGTATGATGTTCCAGGGTGTGAATGTGCCTGTACTTATTCCTTTTGTTACCAGTTTTGTGCTACCGTTAACAACACACCCTTGAGCACTGAACACAAAATACCCAGGTGTCTATGAGCACGAGGCTGCTGAGGGCAGCCACAGGCAGGTGTGCTGAGGGGCTCAGCCAGCCAGGCCTCCCCCTGAGCCACCCATCACCTGCATGGTAAGGGTGGGACTGGAGAACAACCAGGGTCCCTCCCCGCTGACTGAATCTCTTACAGTCAAATCATGGGGGCACTTGTGCGACCTCTCAGCACAAACTAGTTGAGGATCAGTGAGGTGCAGGCCTGACCTGGCCCTGTGACCCCACCATGAGGAGGGTCTCAGGGGGCTGACGCTCAGGTGGTGAGAGGCAAATATAAACACATAAATGAATGATAGCAACTCTATGAGTTGCAAGGTGCTAAAAAAAGAACACCCAGTGCTGTGACCCTAAGGAATGGTCCTGCACCTATGGTAGCGTGTAAAGGAGCTCTCAGCCCTCTGCCCTTGACTTTTCCTGCTGCTGTAACTTCCCTCCATCCTGGCTGAGGGAGGCATCCACAGCTCCTCAGTTTCCCCCTCCAGCCTTAAACACTTCTGAGTACCTCCAGACTGGGGGCCTGGGACCCTCTCTCAGGGTTCATGTCCTTGGCCAACACAGGCCGTGACCAGGGGGACAAGGATGACCCAGGGGTCCCTTTCCTCTCAGCAGCCCCTCACTCTGGGCTCCTCTTCTGGGCCCCTCTGGATTACTAGGGCCGACCCCCTTCTACTTGTTCCCAAAACACTGCTAACCCCCATGGGTTCCCCACATCAGTGCCCTTCCCTGACCTCCATGGGTGCAAACTGCCATCTCTGCAAACCCTTTCTTGACTTACTGGTATTTCCTACTGGTGCAATTTTTATAACTTATCATAGAATACATATATTAATGTTTTGATGTTGTAAGTGTAATATTTTACTGTTGGGCTTGATTTGGGTTAATATTTTTTAGTATTAAAAATATAATTAAAACACATCTGTCTTTTAAAGGCAACTTTGTTATCACTGACATAAACGAAAAGCTGGTGCTCCTCCACTAAGTAGAATGTAGCTTTTGAAATAAATATAATGCAAATAAAGCCAGGGTCTTAAATGCTAACTAATGTTTGATAGAGGCTCCGAGCTTCAGGCTTATAGCTCCTTCTTTAAAAAGAGGGATCAAGAAGGGTTAGGAGTTGCTGAAGATGTAATGGCACCAAAAGGAGACTTTCTCCTGCCTATTCAGGACCAAAGAAAGTGAAACACTGATAGGCTCCCGCATAGGCTTCTCAGCCATGGCGGCTGTCCACCCTACACCAATGTGAGGCAAGCAGAAGAGGGACTATTGCTCCCATTTAACAGATGAGGAAAACTGAGGCTTGGAGGAACAACCAGCAGAGCCACTCGCCTCCAGGGTCTCCTCCTCTTCCAGGAAGCCTTCCCTACCTCCTGGGACCCTGTAAGGGGGCCTCCTCGGCTCTCCCACAGACCCTGTAACTGAGGCCTCTCAAGGCACTGGTGATACAGTGGGATGCACTGTGGGGACCCCCACAACCACTTCCGTAACCTGGGGATGATCTGCAGTTCTGCGGCCAAGGCCCAGGGACCCCAAAGGCCCCCTGTTTCTCTGAAGATAGTCCCTTCAGGGCTGCACTTGGGGGATAAGCCAGGCTATTTGCACCATTTCCTTCCTCCCACTCAGGCAGTGGCCACCATCAGCTGCCTTACACTGAACTGCCACCTCGGCCTCAAGCAGACGGTTCAGGCCCCAGAAAGGGTGTGTGGACTGCAGGCCCCACAGGTAAGTGGCCCTCCCCACTACCCAGCTCCATCTCCTGCACCGCAGGCCCCTGCCAGAGACAAGGGGACAAGGCTGGCAGGGGGAGGGGAGGCAGCTCTCCGGGGACCCCTTGGCACTCCCCTCTGGCAGACGGGGCATTCACTCTAAGACACCGGCTCCTTGGTTGAGCCAAGATTCATTGGTTTATCCAGGGTAAACTCCCTGGAAGCTGGCTGTGGTCGGGGGACTTGTCTTGAGAAGGGGAAACAGTTGTGGAGGGAAGGCCAGGCAGAAGCCTGGAGCTTCCAAGATCTGAGTTTGAGTCTGTTCTCTGACACAGACTCTGCCCAAGTTCCCCCCAGTCCCTGGGCCTCAATGTCCCCAGTTCTCAGTGTTACCCTAGAGGAGTGGCTTTCCAGAGGGCGCCCCTTCTGTGTTCTCTTCCCTGTCTCTGCCTCAGCACCCTCATTCTGCTGTTTTCTGTATCAGGTATGATGGAAGAGCTCACTTAGCCATGGGCAAGCCATCTGAAACTGACGGGACGAGGTGGTCTAGGAAGTCACACCACCGGCCTGTCCCCAGGCTTACAGGTGGAGGCTGGGAGCAGCCTGGAGGAGCTCTCCAAGGCCCTTTCCTGGGTTCTGGGGGCCAGGACGCAGGACTGCAAGTCATTTAGCAGGGATCTGCTTCCCTCAGCCCTGAGCAGGGGCTGGGGTCTCTGTTAGGGGCCAGGAGGTCCCTTCCCCTTAAGGGCAAGAATGTTCTTACCTTACTCCCCTCCCCTGCCACAGCCACAGCTACACTCACCTCCTGCCTTTCAAGTGACATCCAGGCCTGGGTTGGGCACACTTCACTTCCTTCAATCTTCACCACCCCATTTCACAGAGAAGAGACTGAAGCCAGCATTGGGGGGTGAGCTGTCTCTTGTCCCAGGTCAGGTCCCACTATGCCCATGAGACCCACTAGCCCTTGGGAAGGGGTGCAGGCTGCCAGGCCCTTCCCCACCTCACCGCCCTCTCTCCCCAGCCAGCCTGCACAATGCCCACCTGGAGGGCCCTGTTCCTGCTCTGGGCTGCCGCGGAGGCCACCACGGACTGCCCTGCACAGTGCACCTGCCAGGCCCTGGAAACCATGGGGCTGTGGGTGGACTGCAGGGGCCGGGGGCTCACAGCCCTGCCCGCCCTGCCAGCCCACACCCGCCACCTCCTGCTGGCCAACAATAGCCTTAGCTCCGTGCCTGCAGGCGCCTTTGACTACCTGCCCCAGCTGCAGACCCTCGACGTGACACAGAACCCCTGGCACTGTGACTGTAGCCTCACGTACCTGCGCCTTTGGCTGGAGGACCACATGCCCGAGGCCCTGCTGCAAGTCCACTGTGCCAGCCCCCACTTTGCCACCTCCCGCCCACTGGGCCTGCTGACCGGCTACGAGCTAGGCAATTGTGGCTGGCAGCTGCGGTCGTCCTGGGCCCACCTGGGGATCTGGTGGGATGTGGCTCTCGTTGTCGTGGCCACACTGGGCCTGGCTCTCCTGGCTGGCCTGCTGTGTGTGACCCCAAATTCCTAGACTGAGCCCAGACCTCTGGGGTCATCCCCAGGCCAGGCAGCCAGGCCCTGGGCCTCTCCCCAGATGCCACCAGCCCTGGTCAGACCATAACTCAAAGTAAACTGGCTGCTCAGCCATTTTATCCAAGCTCAGATTTTTTTATTTTTTACCCTCTCAGCATTCAAGTCTGGCTCCTTCTAGAAACTTGGGTCCATTGTGTTAGAACCAGATATCAGCTGGAGCTCCTCTGTTCCCCAGGTTCCTGGTAAAACGGGCTGTCCTGCCTCCTCACCAGCCACCCCCAATGCACGATCTCTGGATGCCTGAGGCCTTCCCCGGCGCCCACCAAGTCCTGCAGCCCCAGTTCTCACACCCTCGTCTGTCCACCAGCACCTGCTTCCCACACAGGCCACCCAGACTGATTTCACATCACTCTTCAGCCCCTGTCTGAATTCCACAGAAAGCTGGTTCTCACAACACAGCACGAAGTGGAGACCCTGGGCAGGAAGAAAGGAGGGGGTTCCACCTCTGCAACAGGTGGACCTTGAAAAGCTAGTCCTTGTTCTGAAAATGGCCTTTAGCCACTCTGCCCCGGCCACAAAGCCATCTGGGCTCACCTGGGCCCTTTCCTTTCTCCTCTCCTACACGCTTTCTCTCCTTTCCTTCCTCTCTACCCCTCTTCTTCAGAAACAAAACAACAAACTCCTCCCTTGCTCAGGGAAACAACTGCCCCAAAGCGCTGACATCAGACACACGCAAAGTCTGGACTCCCAGTTCCACCCCAAGCAACAGTCACCAAATTCTTCCAACAAGACCCTTTTCTCCCTCAGAGGAATTCTAGTGCCAGCAGTTTAGATAAACTTCTCTCCACCAAATGAGATAACATTCACAGGCCTGCGACTGGCCAACCCAAATCCAAATATAATTACACCAAGGTCTTTCCCTCAAGGATCTCCACGTGGCTGGCCTGTGGCTCAGAGGGTGCCATGAGGAAGGCCACGGGGACACTGAGCACCAGTGGAGGGCACTGACCCACCCAGGTGAGGCTGGAACAGGAGCCTCAAACTCAGGGGAGGGGCTGGGCAATAGGTAGTGGTGGAGATTGTGGAAAACTAGAGCGCCCCCGTTTCATCCAAAGAGGCACGGCTGAACACTGCCATGAGGACACAGGGACCCAGAATGTCTTCCCACCCTTCCAGAGAGGCTGGAAATCTAAATGTTTACATGAAACCCCCAACTTATTCAAGCATTGGCAACTAAATAAAAAAATTGATTATTTTCAACTATATCAAAATCTGATTATATCTAATAGGACAAATAAGACATGTTCATTGACTAGATGGAGCCCACAGGCTGAGAGTCTGATTTCCATGTGAGCCATCAGCTGTGACACAGCTGCTTCATGAGAGCAGGAGAAGCTGGCATCTATACCGGGTGTAGCACTAGTACATGCCAGGCCCTGCATGAAGCACATCGCATGAACTTACTCGGTACCCCAAGAAATCCCTAAGGAAGATACTGCTCCCCAATACCCCGCACTGTGTGGACACTAGCCCAGGGCCCCGACAGGCACCTGATAGGATGGCCCAGACAGGTCCCCTTCCACACCTAAAAAGTGCCTCTTTGAAAGCCTGCTGGCCCATGGAGCCCCGGAGAACTAAGGTCCTTCAACCCCAAGTCTCTAGTGGGATGCCCCTTAAATGTTGCCTCTGCTTCTTCCTGAGGCCAATGTAGGTGGCCACAGGTCTGGCCCAATGGCGATGACAGGCCTTGATCCTGGAGGCCGAGCAGCTCAGTCTGTGAGAACCAGCAGGAGCCCAGAGAGTCCACTGTCACCGGCACAGGGGATGACTCCCTGAGGGTGGGCGGAGTGGAGGGACATCCAGCAGCGCGGCAGGGACTTCCGGGAGCAGATGATGGAGTCACACAAGAGCCCCATGGAAACGGGTCCACTGGGAACCTCGATTCTCCATCTCCATCCTCCCCATGGTCTCCTTCCAACCCAGCAAGGCCACCACAGAGCACGTCAGCATCCCCACCAGCTCCACAGCCACCAGCCCCAGAACCAACACTTCCCACCACACAGCCAGCTCTCCCCCGCTGGCCACCACTGTCCCCTGTAGGACCACGGTGGCCGCTGATATGCCCCGCCCCCGGCTGTTCACCTTCACCTGGAGCACTGGCCACCTGCGCCAGTCCTGGACTGCACACCAGCCTCCCACTCACCCCTCCAACCCCGCCATTTCCCCATCACCTCTGTCACAGTAGCACCACCCATGGACCTTATCCCCATTATAAAAGCAAATGCTCTATCACCACCATCAAGCAATCCCCATAGTCACCATGACATCAGCCTCCCAATCATCTCCTTTGTCGGTATTTTCACAATCCAGCTGCACGGGGGGATTTGCAGAGGTAATTTGTACCAGCTACTGTGACAACCACCGCGCCTTGCTGGTGGCTTACCTCAGTCCAGGCTTGCTGCCCGCTCACCCCGCACCAGGGTGCCCACCAGGAGGCCAGCTGCCCACCAGGAGGCCTCCTGCCAAGCCCTCTGCTGGTCTTCTGCATTCCTCTGGCCCCAGGTGAGCAGGGAACGCAAAGGGATGCAGGGATGGTGGTGGGCAGGCGGCCGGCCGAAAGCGGTGTGGACGACCTTCACAAGCAGCTGTTTCTAGAACCCTGCAGTCACTGTCCGATCCTGCCTGCAATAGCGGCCTGGACCCGTGCTCCTCCTGCGCGCCCAGCAACAGAGCGGAGGGGGCACGCACACTCGGTCTCCCAAGGACTCCACATCGGGCCTGCATGGACCCTCACCCTCTCCAGCCCCTGATGATGACACCTCAAACTACATGAGGAAAAATTTCCTTGCTGGACAAAGAATACATTCCACCTCAGGGAAGGGGCCTGGGCCAGTCCCTGTGCATGCGCCCGAGACAGCAGATCACAGAAGGTGGAAGGCTCTGTCCTCGCTTGGCTCTGCCCGAGGTGGGGGGCAGCCCGTTTGTGGCCCAGGGAACCTTCTAGCAATGGAGGCTGACTTCACAGGGTCGTCCAAGAAAAGGCAAAGCTGTGAAACAGTTGGTGAAGTCTCAGGGACTGCAATCCAGGAACATAGATTCGGGAATGTTAACCTTGGAAATAAAACTGTCACTTACCTTACTGGCAAAAATGGTTTAGTTTTTGTTTTTTCAGGTATAGCAGAGAACTACAATTCAGGACAGAGTGGCTACAGCAAAACCATTAAGGAGTGGAGAACAGAAGAGAGGATCGCTCCTTTATAGATGAAAGGGGAAGGCTGGAGGGGGGCCTATTATAAACAAAAAGTCTATGGAGGAAACTGGGAGTTTGCAGCATCATGGCTTTTCATTGGCTGAGTTTTGCCAGCCTCTCACTGGCTAGTCTGTTGCTGGGGGTAGAGAAAGCTTCCTTCCTTCTACAAGTTAGTCAAGAAGGAGGTGAAGCGGCAGCTGCATCTTGCTTAGGTCCATTCTTCCCGTTGGGTCTGTAATTGATGACTAGTGTTAGGGTGTGAGAGCTCCCCCTGCTGGCCTCCTGACTCCATTTTAGAGAGGTTTCCCTTTATTAATTTTATTAATAAATAAAATTTATTTTTACTATAAAATAAAATAGAAAGGACAGTTTACTTGTCCTCTGTTGACAGAGATACAATTGATCCAACATTCTCCTTTACAAATAGTGCTGCAGGGGCCAACTTGTATACCTGTGTGGTTATTTTACTAGATCACTAGTTCTCTAAGTGGGGTTCCAGGGACCCCTGGGGGGGGGTGTCTGAGACTCAGGGGCTTCATAAGCTCCAAACTATTTCCATAAAATAAGACATTATGAGCCTTTTTCATTCTCATTCTCTCAAACTAAAACTCCCTTAAAATCAATGGGAATTTTCCAGAGCCTACACAATGTATGGTTTCAAAATAGATTGACTGCAGAAGCGGACATGGGGATCTGGCTAATTTATATTAAGCCAGATATTAAAGAGATTTGCAAAAATGTTGAACAATGGCACAACTCACAAATTTTTTTGTTTTGTTTGAAACATATCTATTTTTATTAAAACATTTTATTTTTGTTAATGTCCTTGAGTTTATCCACACAATTTTGAATGAACACACAAATATTTTTAAATGTTCTCTGCTTTATTTTCACTCTCTGTAAACTATTGATAGATCTAACCCACATAAGGAAAACCTCTTTGTGGCCCTCAAAATTTCTGAGGAATTAAAATTTAAATTAAAAATTTAAGAGGAGTCCTCTTAAATAGTTGTGAATGTTATATTGTTTTCATGACTCTTTCAAAGTATATTGTGTCTTTCTATTACAAAGATAGTATCTATTCATTATTTCAAAAAAACAACAGGGAAGTGTAGAAAAGTAGAAGGTAGACCCAGTGCTCCCAACCCCTTCACTGAAGGGTTATCAGTGATTCTCCTGTGATTAGCACTTTAACATTGTCTAAAATACACCGCAACAAGGAATGGCTGCCCCAGGATTTCCCTTTTTATAGAAATAAGGCTGCCATGGATATTTCTGTGCACAGAGGTGTTATTTTTAAGCTTCATTCCTTCCGATAGCTTTCCATAAGGGCTGTTATTTTCAGAAACATCCACCCAGACTTGCATCCCCTTTGCCGAATTAAACCTGAGTAGAGGGTAGTTACCACAGCAGCCATGGTCTGAAACCTGAGGTTCCCTCTCTGGATTTTGAGGGGTTAAGGCACGACCCCAGAGCCCGATGCCCCACGGGTCAAATCTCCTCTCTGCTGCTCACTGAATGCACATTAGACTCTCTTAAGAATGCATACGGAAATCTCTCAAAAAACATTAGACTCCTTCATCTCAGGTGGCTGTAACCACCATCCTGATAAAAGCTTGAAGCTCTAAGGAGACATGGAAATTGGGCAGCCTTCAGCCAGCCACCTACTAAGCCCCAATGAAGCACATATTTGGGTCTATATGTGAAATCTGTATCTTTTCCAACAAATGAGTCTAAGCTTAAAGTGGCCAGGGATCCAGAAAAGATCAAGAACCCCTATTAGGGGTGACAAGCTCAAATACTGCCAGATAGGGTTACAGTTTGAATGGAAAAGGGCTGGATGTTAGGCTGACCCAGGTGACCCCACTGACCCCTTCCACAGGCCCTGGCTATGGTCAGAGCCTTGAAAGGAGCCAACCTCCAGCCCTTTACCCTTGATGTCCACAGGTGAAGCTGGCACTTTTACAAAGGAAGGAAAATATACTTAATCCAAAGGTAAATGGGAAAGAACCTTCATGCCTTCTTTTTTAAGAAGAATGTAAAAACTTCTGAGATGTCAGGGCCTGCTCATGGTGGGGCACACAAGCTGTGCAGAGCAGTGCTCCTGAAATTGTTAACATGCAAACAAATCCCCTACAGATCTTGCTAAAATCCAGGTGCTGACTCAGGAGCTCTGGGGTAGAGATTGATTCTGCATTTCTAACAAACTCCTGGATGATGCCAGGCTGCTGGCCGGTGGACCCCACCGCAAGCAGAAGGCTGGAGCATGCTGGCTATGCTCACCCAGCTCCCAGGAGCCAGCTCCCAGGCCCCTGACCACTGTCTACTTACCTCCTCTCCCAGATCCCCACTTCCTGGCGGCCACACCTCCCCTGAGTCCCCTCAGCCCAGCACAGAGCTCCTCCAGCTCCCTGAGAGATATACCACTGTCACTGTAATGATGAATGAATGAGCAGCTTCGAATTTGATATGAAGGCTTAAAAACTCCGTGTCTGCATCCGTTCCCTGGCTGCCTGTCCTGAGGCACAACAGAGAGCCCAGCAACAGTAGCCCAGGTGTGGGAGGGGTAGGCCTGGTTCAGCTCACCTGGGGGCTGAGGTGGGTGGGCAGAGCCCACCATGCCTGGAAGAGGGGGTTGGCGAACACCTGGAGTGCGGGGTGGTGGAAGCACGAGGTGGGACCAGCCCCGCCATGCGAGCTGGGTCTGCTCTCTCCGGGTTGGGGAGAGAAATGGCACAGGCTGCAGCCCCAAAGCTGCGAGATCCCCCCATCCCCTACCCTGGAGGGGCCCCCCACCCCATGTGTGGAAATCAGCAGCAGGCACCGGCGGCTGTCATTTGGGGCAAGGTCCCAGCAAGGCACTTGGGAACCAGAGGCCCTGCCGGGAGAGGCCCCCCCACCCGGAGCAGTTTGGCTCCTCAGGCAGGTCAGGGTCTGCCTGCCAGGGAAGCAGCATCATGGGAAATGGCAGAGCCGCGTGGGGCTGGGGCTGGCCAGTGTCAGGGACACAGCGGCCGGGCCTGGACAGTGCTGGCCTCTTGGGGGGCCTGAGGGCAGCAGGGAGCCGAGCAGGGTCAGAGCAAGGGGGTGGCCTGGTCAGTGTGTAGCTTACCCTGGGAGGCTCCCTGCAGCCAGGTGTAGAGACAGGAGGCAGGAGCAGGGCAGGTGGAGGCTGCGGGGGATGGGCAGGGGCCCAGGGAGGAAGGTGACCAGGGGGGGACTTCTGAGCTGTGGGGATGAGAGGGACGTGAGTCGGACGGGGCACCTCGTGTCCAGGCTTCCCTGGTCTGAGCCTCTGGGGACATGGGGCCCGGCTCAGACAGGCCTAGTTCTGGGGTTTTCTTCAAAGGGGCACATGTGGGCATGGGGCACACTGGGGCACAGGGCCCTGGGTAAGAGCAGGACACTCAAACAACAGGCATTTCTCCCTGGAAGAGGTAGTTGCTGGCGAGTGCCAGGTGTGTGGGCCATCTGGGATGCCCAGGGCTCTAGGCCCTCCTCATTAAGTCAGTGGAATTGAGGCTTCTACTGCTGGGGACAGAGGTGGAAACAGGAGCCGGCTGTTCCAGCCTGTTTATGGAGCTCCTCTCTGCCTGCTTATCTCCTGGTGGCTTCCCGAGATGCAGGCAGGACAGGAATTAGAGTCCTGAATTTGAGGAAACCAAGGCTCTGAGTACACGACTTGCCCAAGGTCACACACCAGTCAGGACAGACCTGGGATCTGAATGGAGTTTAGTCTGCCCCCTACAATGTCTGTTTTAGAACAGGGCTGTAGGGCAAGGGCAGTACCCACTGGCCACCACCGGCAGCCTCCCCCTCTCATCCTGCCCCCATGTTAGCAGAGGCCCCTTTCACAGGAAACCAGGAACAGACCCTAGATTCTCAGTGGGCTACGGACTCATGGGCTTCCTGGTGCCAGGGGCCTGATGCAGGCACTCACGCAGTTCTTTGAGCACCTACTATATGCCTGGGAAGAGCAGTGAGCAGGACCAGCCCGGCCTTCATGGGGCTCTCAGATTCTGACCTGGGTAAGTTTTAGTTCCATGTTGACTGCAAGGCACTCTCAAGCCCTGAGCCTGTTGGCTTTTCTGCAAAATGCAGGGGTAGAACATCTCCCTTACAGGGTTGGAGAAGTGAGGGGCATGGGGCCTGGTGGCCCAGAAATCACCAAACAGTATTTCCCAGCCTACCTGCCCAACACAAACCCAACTGAAGAAACCTGTGGCCCAGAGAGGTGCAGTGACTTGCCCAAGGTCACACAGGTGTGTGACCCAACCCCTGCCCATTAGGCACCAACTGCCTCTTGGCACAAGGATCCCTTATTGGTCTGGGACCCAGAGAGGTTTTAACGGGGCTCCCAACAATGGACAGTTGTGTCTGCCTACCCACACACACACCTACTCCAGGCCTGGAGACTGGTCAACGGAAGCCTGCTGGGCATGTGGGACCATCTATGGGGATGTGGCCACCTGGGCCAGCTCCTGGCTGAAGTGAGAGAACCAGTCTTGGGCACCATTGGCTTGTCACAGAAATCTGTTTAATGGTTTCGGAATGTGTATACTCTGGCTCTGCTGAGTTTCCACAAAGGCAACTTTTCCATGTTTTACAAAATAGATTTGCTATAAAGATTCATATATCATAAATAGGTATCGTGAAAAATTCCCAAATGCAAATGGCATCCTTGGGCTGGCTGAGTTCTTCCCCACCTCCCAGTTGCCCAGGCTGACAGGGCTCAGAGGGTCCCTGAGGGCACCGCCTCCTGGGAAAGAGTAACTGAATTCAATATGAATTAGGAGCTTCCTCCAGCACCATGCCTGCTGGGATCTGTGTCCTTGGGGCCTAAACCCCGCCCCCGCTGGGAGGACAGGAGACCCATCTGTCTGGCTTAGGAGTCCAAATCAATGTCCCTTGCCTGACCCACTGTGCTTGTATTAAACACCAGCCTCTTGTTCTCCCTCTAGACTAGGCTCCACCAGCCCCACTCAGGTCACAGATGGCCCTCCTCCAGCTTGGGGGCTGCCAGGACACTTCCTGGCCCTCCATCTGGCCCCAGTCCCCTGCCCCCTCTCCTGCACTCTAGCCACTGCCTCACCTGCTCTGTTCTTGGGTAATTTATAAACAAAGGAAGAGATTAAACTGTTCTTTTACCCCAGAGGCCCTGGGCTGCTGGAAGAGGAAACAGGGGTGGGTCTTGTTTTGTCTCACCTACTTCCCCATTTTCTCAGACCCAGGTCAGAGCCTCACTAAGACCCAGAAAGGTGGTGAGGCCGCCACGCAGCATGCGGCTATCATTATATGCAGGGCCAGGCCTGAGCATCAGCATTTGTGTCTGAGATGGAGGGCCCAGGAAGTATCTCTGATGGAACCTGTAGTGGCTTCAGCCCGGGAAGGTTGGCGGGGGGCGGGAAGGGTGGACCTTGCAGGCCAAGCAAGGGGTGGGGAAAGAGCCATTCCTGCCAGAGGGTACTATGAGCAAGAGCCTGGCTCAGGGTGGTGCCCGTTCTCAGAGGTGTCCAGCTGGGCCACTCGTGGGATTCTAGAAGTCATGAATAAGAGGGCAGGGTGGTGAGTCCAGGAGGGCAAGAGGCCAGCCTGGACAGAGGGTGCTCCTGGGAGACAAGAAGGTGCTGGAGAGAAGCTGGGGCACAGCTGTGGGGGCTCTGGACATTGCTGGAGTATAGAACACATACCAAGGGTCCCAGGGCACCCCAGACAGCTTGAGGGGGAGGGGACCACGAGTGACCTTTCACATCTGCCAAGCTGACAACCCCAGGAGGGTGGCTTGGAGTGACGGCAGCTGGGAGCCCAAGGTCCGAGGAGGGCGGTGAGACGTCCAGGTAGGAGGATGAGGTCTGTCTGAACCAGAGGTGCAGAGGGCTCTGTGGTGGGATGGGGAGAGAAGGCAAGGTGCCCAAGGTGGCCTCCCGACATCTAGGCCAAACTCCTGGAGTGAGCTGCCTGGAGGGGGTAGCAAGAGGTGCAGAGAACGAGGCCCTGGGGAGAGGAAACCTCCCCCACCCCCACATGAGGTAGGCCGGCTGCTCTCTTCCCCCTTCCAAGCCAAGCCTGTGCTGCCTCCTGCCCTGGGATCAGGAGGTAAGGGGCTCAGTCCAAGGTGACCTCCGAGCCCATCACCATCCTACCCCCCACCCATTCCTGTGCCCACCCCAGATCCTCCCAGCAGCCCAGGGCCTTCCCCAGCCCTGAGGCAGGGCAGGCGGGCAGGGGGCAAAGGAGGCTCGCACCTGTGCTCAGCAGGGACTGGGGGCCAGTCATAGGGTACAGGCCCCAGCCTCCACTCTGAGACCCCTCACGTCTCCCTCTCTCCAAAGCAGCAGGTCTCTGCAAGGCCAGGCTTCATGAGACTTCTATTCCCACCTGGGCCTCGCTTAACTGCCCAGATCTGCTCAAATTATCAGCCCCTTGGCAGAGAGGGCATGGGGCTGGAAGACCTTTGACCTGGGCCTGAACAAGGCACCCCTTTAGGGAACCTCTCAGTGACGGGCACTTGCTACTCGGCAGGAGGAGGCCAGGCACTGCAGTTGAGGGACAAGGCAGGGAGAGCCCCAGGTCCCTCTCAGCGCCATCCTCTTAGTGAGGCTCCTGAGGAAGGACGCCAAGCAGCCCTTGTGCTCCCAGCTCCCGTCCCGCCCCAGCCAACAGTGGGCTGATTCCCAGGAGTGCGGACCCCTGCGGACCAGGCTCATCAGTCCCATGGCTGCCCCCCCGCTCTCTCACCTCAGCCAGGGAATCCCGTCCCGCCCAGCCCCGCATCACCCCTATACAGGGCTGCAAAACTCTGGCTTCTTGCTCTGCAGCCGGGCCTGCCTGGGAGAGGGGACAACGCAGACCATCGTGCGTGGGGTGGAAGCAAGGGAAGTCAGCTGGGGCTGTTGTTTGGCCGGCCCAGGGTGCAGCCTGGGCTCTGGGCTGCCTCCCCAAAATGAGACCTTGCCCACAGCCCAAGAGCAGGTTATATCCTGTGGTTTCCCCCAAGGGGCTGGAGTGGGCTGACATGGAGGATGGGGTTGGCTTGGGAAGATCGACCCTGTGGCCCTCTGAGCTGTACTCCAGAGGCCAGGGCTGCTTCCAAGAGCCCCAGAAACCCAGGCCCCTGCCTGCCTTCTGACCTCAGCACCCAGCACATTGATGCTGTTTGGGCTGGTGGGCACAGGGGGATGAAATGGCCAGACCAGGACTTCCAGGCTTCACCGTTTTTGCTTGGGAAGCTCTCTAAGCCCTGAAAGGGGGGAGCTGATACTCTGAACACAGCAGGAAGGGTTTCTGCACGGGGTATGAGACCAGGTGCCTTGATGGGGCCTCTCGACCCTGCACTGCAGGGGCACAAGCTTTTACTTACCCCCTGAAATGGTCCCGTTGCCATCTCATTCCCCTCCCCCAAACTTCTTAGAACCGGTGCCAAAGAATTAGCTAGTTTTGCAACCTGAGTGGCAAAACTTTGGGCCCCAAGCCAGCAGACGGTCCTCACTTGGTCATGAGCCGTGACCCCACACTTGTGCTGATGAAAACAAGAAACTACATGAAAACCAGAAAACTTGAGAGGTCTTGCTAAGGCAGCTAGCTGGGCCCCAAGGTATCTGTGAGCTCAGAGCTGGCAGTAAAGGCAGGCAGGTTCCCCTCCTGGAAGGTGTCAGGGCCTCCCTGGAGCCATGCTTAGGAACCAAGTCTCATGGGCTGGTTGCTCTTGCTCTCTACAGTTACAAAGGCCCGGAATGACCCAGAAGAGCCCCAGGCACCAGCCACACCCCTGAAAAGCAGCAACCTGCTGCCACAGCTGCAGCAGACTCCTGGGGTGAAATAGTCAAAACCAGGACGGGTGGAGCAGGGCAGACACACTCCAGGCCCCTCTCCCGCTGTGGTCCATACCAGCGGGCTCAGGCCAGTCCTGGAATGTAAGGACGTGGAGGGGACAGCCGCTGGTTGGCAGGAGGGGCCCCACACCCTGCCCTGCACCAACAGGCCTACTGCACGAGGTACCCTGCTTCCTCCTTCCTTGATGGTAGCTTTCCCATCAAGCATCCAGGCCATGGGATGGAAGATTCCAGGATTTTATCCAGCTGCCCTAGAATGGCTGGTGTCCTGGAGGGCCAGCTCTGGAGGGCTGGGCTTGGCAGGCCAGAGACAGAGAGGTGGTGGGGAGGCCCCTGCCTGCCTGCTCTGCACGCCGGTCAGCACCCACAGCCCCAGGTCTCTCCAATGTCCTTGCTGTCCAGCTGGATGTGGTCGGTGCCTTTCTCACTGAGCAGGGGACCCCCGTGCCTCATGACCAGCTCCGTGGCCACCCTCACAAAGGCCTCCTCCACGTTGCTCGAGTCCTTGGCAGATGTCTCGATGGCACACAGGATGTCGTAGTGCTCTACGAGGCTCTGCGCCTCAATCAGGGGCACCTCCCGGAGCTCACTGAGGTCCGACTTGTTTCCTGTAGGGGAAGGCCAGGTGCAGCTTTGGTGAGCCCACAGGTGCCAGGCAAGCCCTGTCCTACCTGGCAAGGCCGAGCTGAGACCTAGTATCATCTACTGCTCTCTGTCAGCCACCAATAAACACAGTTGTACATGGTAATCTACCTTTAAAAACAAACTTTATTTTACAGCCCTTGTTGATAAATAGCCTTTAGTCTCTCTTTTCTCTTTTTTATCTCTGCCAAAGGCTTTTATATTTCATTGCTTCTTCCTAAGAAACAGCAGTACAGTTTGGTGAAAAGAACATGGTACTTTAGAGCTGGAAGAAGACCAGTAAAGAAACTCCAGCTCACTTGCTGTGTGACCATGGGTAAGTCACTTTGTCTGACTCAACTCCCTGATCTATGATGCAACCTTTGGCAGAGGAGGGATTAAACAGGTGACACTGGGCAGGCACTCCACCAATGTGGTAGTTGACAAAGAAATCTGGCGTTAATTTTTTTTTTTTGCTAAACTTTCATTTTACGATTACTGTTTGGTCTCTCCTATTTTCCTTTGGAATTTTTTTATTCTCTATAAAATCATGGGTTTTGATTATTTTCCTTTTCTGATAGTAAGTACACTTTCACTTTACCTGGGAGTACAGCTTTGGCTTCTCCTATGAGTTTGGAGATGTTTCGTTATGTTCTAAATAATCTGATAAACTGCTCCTTGACCTAATTTCTAGAATTCTCTAAAGTGTTGAAGTGGTTGATTTTTGTAATGCGATTATAGGAAGGGCAAAAAAAAAAAAAAAAAAAAAAAAGATAAGCATCTATAAAGATCTAAAATGTCACTGGTTAGCCTTCAATGATGCAGCAACCAATTTCAATATGTGGAACTTATTTGGATCCTGATTTCAACAAACTAAAAAAAAAAAGCACATGTGCTATTTATGAGCAATTATAAATCAGAACACAGATCAGCTACTCGATTGTATTAAAGAAATGTTGATATTTTTTAGACACTAAATTGGTATTGTTATGTATTTTTTAAGTGTTTGTATTTCTTATAGATTCATGCTGGAATATTTCTAGATAAAATAGTTTGGTGTTGGGATTTGCCTCAAAATAATTCAAGGGAATGAAGGCGGGGATGAAATCAGACATGAGTTGCTAATTGCTGAAGCTGGGTGATGGGTATCTGGACACTACTGTGGGTATCATGCCATTATTCAATTTTTGTATTTGTATAAAATGCTCTATAATAGAATGTCCTGGATAAAAGGGGAATGTAAGGCCAGGTCAGGAGAGCTCCCTTCCTGCCCAAGGTTGGGGGTGAAAGGTGGTTTTAGCTCTGCCCAGTGCTTCCACACCCTAGTCCTGGCAGGCTGGGGAGGCCAGGCTTTACGGAACCAAAAGCCACCCTTTTCCCAGCTGTATTCATGCCCAGACCCCATCTGTACAATATCATCTTAGAAGAATCACCTGACAGTTGGCGTGAGCTCCAGGGACCACACTAATGGTCCAGAGCTTTTTGAGCCCATGTTAGGGAAGTTTAGGTAGAAGGAAAAGGAAAAATGGAGGTAACAACATCGCTCTGCAGCAGTGGTTCTCAAAGTGGGGTCCCTGGCCCGGCAACATGGATGTCACTAGTATTACCAGGGAACTTGCTGCAAATGCACATACACGGGCCCTACCCAGACCTCCTGAATCAGACACTGGGGGTGATACCAGCATCTGTTTTAATAGCCTTTGAGGTGATTCAGAGGCACACAAACATTTGAGAAGCCTGCTCTGCAGCATGTGTGATAGAGCAAGTCCCTGAATTAGGATCAGCAGACCTGGTCACGCTTTTTGCTCACGCTTACATGCGCACAGCCTGTGTGGCCTGGGATAAACTACTTCAGTTTTCTGTGCCTTTGCTTCAACCCTGACACATGAGAACAGGGCTGCAGGCACTGGAGCTAAGACGCAAAGACTTAACCAGTGTTAACCACCGTGTGGATAAGTGCTGACTGCAAAGCAAATGTCAGCTTCCTTTCTTCCTTCCTCTAGTTCCCGTTTTGAATGTAACTTTATAAGTGATTATTGGGATTAGAATTTGCAAGATCATGGTTCAAGTTCCGGCCCCATGCTTACCTGGCCAACCTGAGCCCCTCTCTGTGCTCTGGCTCATCCTGTGTTTAGAAGGGAGACAGACTGAAACAGACAGAGAAGGGATCGGTGGCCCCGGGCCCCCAGCTCACCAATCAGCAGCTGCACGATGTTGGAGCCCGCATACTTCCTCACATCCTCAATCCAGTGAGGCACTGACAGGAAGGAGCTCCGCTTGGTGATGTCATACGCGAGGATGGCCCCGTTGGCACTGCGGTAGTAGCTCTGGGTGATGGTGCGGAATCGCTCCTGGCCGGCCGTGTCCCAGATCTGCAGCTAAAGAAATAGAGGGCCTCCTGTGAACCTGGTGGTGTGGCCAAGCACAGGGGGAGGGCGGGCAATCCCATAGACCCGAAGTGCTGGTTCCACTGGGCAGGCCACCGGCCCACACCTCGGCAGGAATCGCACAGAAGGGGCTGAAGAGAGAGAGAAGGCCTTCTGAGCCCTTAGAAAGCCACGGTGGCCCAATTTTGAAGACAGGAGAAGGAAGGCAGGTGGCCCTCATCTACCTTCTAGAGTTGGCAAGGAAAGCTGGCATGGGGAAGAGGGATGTACTCTGCACTGCAGCAGCAAGTGTAATTGGCCCAGGGTCCTCGGGGTGTCCTCTCTCCCCTCGACACTGGGCTCACCACCAGGGACAGAGCACAGGAGCTCCAGCAGTGCACAGGGTGGGATGGTGGCCCCGGGTGAGCCCTGTTTCTGGCCATGTGCACATCCAGGGCCTTCCTCTCCAGGCCTGTCAATGCACCGCCATAAGGCTCCTCTGGCATTAGGGTTCTCAGCTTCTGCCTCAGCAACACCTGGGAAGATGCTCACGACCTGGTGGTGAGGAGGCCTGGGGAACCAGCGGGCAGAGTCCTCTTGTGGGGCCTTCCCCATCAGCCCACCCAGGTTGGCCAAAGGCAGGGAGCCGGGGGTCTTATCCTGGTCCATGTCTTCACAATACCCACTGGTGCCTGCCGCCAAGCCTCCTGGACCTTAGCCATGGAGGAGAGGTGCCTGCGTGTGGCTTCCTGCAGAAGCAGCAGTCTGGCTGGACAGACACCAGACAGGGCAGGGGAAGGGGCTGGGCCAGGGGAGACCCGGACCCTCACCGCGCTGGGGCAGGCCACCAGCTCTGGGACTAGGAGACAGCGGCCATCAGGGCAGGCAGGCGCACAGCTCTCAGGGCCTCAGGGCTTGCCTTCTCTGCCCCTAAAATCACAGCTTCTCGGGACTCTCTGAAGATGACCAGAGACTAGTCTACACCACCCTGCAGGCCCCTCCATCCTCCTTCACCAGCACAAGCACTCAGGGTGCCTCTCCATCCAGTGTGCAAGGAGTGCCCCTACCCTGTCCAGGGCAGGACAGACTCCGGAGGCCTAGACAGTTCCTGAGGGTAGAGCTTTGCCACCTCTTCCCTATGCCCCATGGCGAGAAGTGGAGAGTGAGAAAGCTCTGGGCCACAACACACCAAAGAAACTCCTCCAGTCCTGAGACTTCCTACTTACTCCCCAGTTGTGAGAGGCCCTAAGGAACCAGGCCTCACACTCCACAGCTCAGGTGTCCACTGGCTCACACAAGGGGTAGAGCAAAAGGCATGAACTTGGCAGCACCCAAACCAGGGATCCAGATGACCAAGAATCATCTCCATGCCGCAGAGGAGGGCACGTAACTCAAAGGACAGAGGCGAAACACACACAGGAAAAGCAACTTGGAGAAAAACCACGCAGAGGCAAAAACCTCAAAAACAACCGTCATTGTTTTCAGAGCTAGGAAAACATACACGAAACAACTATTTCGTTTTTAAGTACTGGGAGCATTCAGAAAGAAAAACAAGCTCTTAAAAAATAAATATTGAACATAAATGAAAAATGCAACATACAGGTTGGAAGATAAAGTTAAAGAAATCCCTCCAAAGTAAAGAAAAAATACCAAGAGATGGAAAAGAGAGAAAAGAAAATCATAGAACCAGCCTTCAAGGCCCAATATCAGGATAGTTAAGTTTCAGGGGAAAAAAAAAAGAATACATGTGGCATTAGGCAGTCAATGAAACAATGCCTAAAATTATGAGGGAGGCTTACTTCCAACCCAGAATTCTCTCCCTATCAGCTACTAGTCAAGTGCAATGGTTTAATATATAAGGGCATTTTTCAGACAAACAGGTCTCAAAAATTTCACCTTCCTTCCACCCTTTCTCAGGAAGCTACTGAAGGTTCCTCTCCCTAAAGAAATCAACCAAAAATAAGAAAATGTGGACTCCAGAAAACAGAGAATTCAACTCAAAAGAGAGACAAAGAGAATCCCCAGGACGGTGGTAGAGGGAGAGCCGGGATGACAGCCGAGCCACGAGCCTGGACATCACCAACCTGTGCAGAGCAGGCCACAGGGCTCCAGGGACAGATCCCAGCTCTGGCAGAGTAATGAGTGGCAGAGAAGCCCTCCCTCCATGAATAACCACTAGACAGAGAAAACTCCAAGAGGCTATCGTTTCCAGGCTGTACACAACAGGCAGCCCACAGTTGCGACCCTGGAAGAAGCAAAACCCACCGCATGCCCCTCATGGCCGCCAGGACTCTTGACCTGGAGATGGCTTCCTGACCACGGGATGGCGGACTGTGATCCAAGCAGAGCACGGTGCTCCCACTGAGCCAGGGAGGCAATGATCAGAGTCTGGAGTAGCTGGTCTGACTGGGATGAGGGGCAGTCACAGCCTAGGACAGCCCAAAAGTCTACGTGTGGCTCCCCAGCCAGCCCTCCCCTGACTGCTCCATGCTCAGGTGAGAGCACTGGCGGGAATCTTCCCACAGAGTGGTCCTGTGGGGCTGAGGACAGACCACAGAGCCCGGGCAGTGCTATGGATGGCGTGTCAGTTCCAAAGCAGACACAGTGAGGAGGCCTCCCTTGCACGTTGTTAGTGACCCGATATTAAGCTCAGACGTCAGGAAGGCTGTAGAGTGGGGACCACAGCTTGAGGAAGGCCTGCCCCAACTCTCAAACCAAGCCCCAACATGAGCCTCAGGTTTGGGGGCTGTGTTCTGTCAACTTAAAAAGGCTAGAGAAACATCCTTAGACATCTACCTGTCTGTCCTAACAAAACATAAAAACAAGCCTACTTGGGTCCAACATTATAAGCCAGTAATTTGAATTGACAACTAGAACACGAATCCACATTCTTGAAAAGAAAATAGCAGAATCCAGAATCTCTATATCTTATTTTATATCTTTTTGTTTTGTGTACCTCTTACTATTTATTGTAGTCTTACTTTATTTTACTATATTGTCTTTTAGCCTTCATACTAGGTTTTCTAAAGAGCTGATTTACTGCCTTTACCATGTATTTGCCTTAACCAATGAAACTGTTTCTTTCGTATATTTCCTTACTTTCAGTTACAGCCATTTTTTTTTTCTGCTTAAAGACACCTTTGAACATTTCTTGTAAGGCTGATCTACTGGTGATAAATTCTTTTAGTTTTTGCTTGTCTGGGAAACTCTCTCTCTCCTTCAATTCTGAACAATAACCTTGAAGGCAGTGTAATATAGGTTGTAAGTTTTTCCCTGTCGGCACTTTAAACATATCCTGCCATTCCCTTCTGACCTGCAAAGTTTCTTCTGAAAATTCAGCTGGTAGATTTAGGGGATTTCCCTTGTATATAACTACAGTTGACCCTCGAACAACATGGGTTTGAACTGCATGGGTCAATTTCTATGTGAATATTTTTAATAAGTATACTGGAAAAAAATTCTGTGGAGATTTGTGACAATTTAAAAAAACACTTTCTGTTCTCTGGCCTACTTTAAGAATACAGTACATAAAACATGTTACATACAAAATGTGTTAATCAACTGTTTATTTTATTAGTAAGGCTATGGTGAACCATAGGCTATTACAAGTTTTGGAGGAATCAAAAGTTATATGTGAATTTTTGACCGTGCAGGGGGTCGGTGCCGTATTCCCCACGTTATTCAAGGGTCAACTATATTTTTCCCTTGCTGCCTTTAAGATTCTCTCTTTAACTTTTGCCATTTTAATTATGTCTTATTGTGGATTTGGAATTATTTTTACAAACATATCAATGGAGTCAAGTTTTAAAACCCAGAATTGCAACCAACATGTGAAGTGGAAAATTCATTCAATGAGCTTAAAAGCAGAAAAAGAAAAAACTGGAATCAGCGAACCTGAAGAAAAATCAATAGAAATCATTCAATCTGAAGAACTCAAGGGAAAATAAAAGATAGAAGAAAAATCAACAGAGGCTACAGGGATCTGTGGGACAACATCAAATAATTTCATATTCACATAACTGCAGTTCCAGAAGGAGAAGACAGTGAGAATGTGGCGATACTAATGACTGCAAAGTGCAAATTTGGTAAGATACCGACTCAGTGATCCACAGTGGCCACCGAACCCTAAGCAGAAGAAACATAAAATGTGCTACAGCAGAGCACAGCCAGAGCAATGAAAACCGAAGATGAAAGAAAACTTGTGAAGTAGTCTGAGAGCGAGAGAAAAAAGACATACTATGTACAGGGCAGCACCAGTACAAATGACAAGGGACTTCTCACCAGAAATAATGGATGCCAGAAGACAATGATGGAAATTGCTCAAAAGGGGAAAATGCACTGAAAGGAAAACCTTTCAACACCAAAGTCTGTATCAAGGAAAAAATATCTCTCAAAAATGAGGGAGAAATAAAGTTGTTTTCAGATAAACGCCTAGGGGCATCTCCCTGGAAGACCCGCACGAGAAGTGCTAAAAACTGCTCTCCAGGCTGAGGGGTAATGAAACAAAGGGGGACTCAGATCTACGCAAGTGATGAGCAGCACGAGAAACGTTAAGTGGGTATGTGTAAAACACTATTTTCTTCTTCTTGCAATTTCCGTTTTGGACAACTAACTATAAAATTATAAAAAATGACTGCCAGGCAGCATTTATAATTTATTAGAAATAAAAAATATGACAATAATACCACTAAGGAAAGGAAGCCAGATAAATGAAATCATGATACTGTAAGATCACTGTGTGAGAGATGAGAAGCATTAGGTGTCAGCTGCGAATTATCAAGTGGTACAAAACTGAATCTAAAAAGCTTCTGTGAGTTAAGGATGCATATTACTAGCCCTGTATATCTACCAGTCAGATAAATAACAAGTCAATAGAAGAAACAAAATGGTATTCTTAAGAACAAAAGTCAATTAAGCCAAAAGATGGAAAAAGAAGAAAGGAATAAAAAATGGGAGAGACAAATAGACAACAAGCAGCAAATGAGAGACTTAAACTCCACCATACCAATAAC